CCCACCCAGCTGCGTTCTCCCCCCCACCCAGCTGCGTTCTTCCCCCACCCAGCTGCGTTCTTCCCCACCCAGCTGCGTTCTTCCCCCACCCAGCTGCGTTCTTCCCCACCCAGCTGCGTTCTTCCCCCACCCAGCTGCGTTCTTCCCCCACCCAGCTGCGTTCTTCCCCACCCAGCTGCGTTCTTCCCCCACAGCTGCGTTCTTCCCCCACCCAGCTGCGTTCTTCCCCACCCAGCTGCGTTCTTCCCCCCACCCAGCTGCGTTCTTCCCCCACCCAGCTGCGTTCTTCCCCCACCCAGCTGCGTTCTTTCCCCACCCAGCTGCGTTCTTCCCCCACCCAGCTGCGTTCTTCCCCCACCCAGCTGCGTTCTTCCCCACCCAGCTGCGTTCTTCCCCACCCAGCTGCGTTCTTCCCCACCCAGCTGCGTTCTCCCCCACCCAGCTGCGTTCTTCCCCCACCCAGCTGCGTTCTTCCCCCACCCAGCTGCGTTCTTCCCCCACCCAGCTGCGTTCTTCCCCCACCCAGCTGCGTTCTTCCCCCACCCAGCTGCGTTCTTCCCCCACCCAGCTGCGTTCTTCCCCCACCCAGCTGCGTTCTTCCCCCACCCAGCTGCGTTCTTCCCCCACCCAGCTGCGTTCTTCCCCCACCCAGCTGCGTTCTTCCCCCACCCAGCTGCGTTCTTCCCCCACCCAGCTGCGTTCTTCCCCCACCCAGCTGCGTTCTTCCCCACCCAGCTGCGTTCTTCCCCCACCCAGCTGCGTTCTTCCCCCACCCAGCTGCGTTCTTCCCCACCCAGCTGCGTTCTTCCCCCACCCAGCTGCGTTCTTCCCCCACCCAGCTGCGTTCTTCCCCCACCCAGCTGCGTTCTTCCCCCACCCAGCTGCGTTCTTCCCCCACCCAGCTGCGTTCTTCCCCCACCCAGCTGCGTTCTTCCCCCACCCAGCTGCGTTCTTCCCCACCCAGCTGCGTTCTTCCCCCACCCAGCTGCGTTCTTCCCCCACCCAGCTGCGTTCTTCCCCCACCCAGCTGCGTTCTTCCCCCACCCAGCTGCGTTCTTCCCCCCACCAGCTGCGTGTCTTCCCCCACCCAGCTGGTTCTTCCCCCACCCAGCTGCGTTCTTCCCCCCACCCAGCTGCGTTCTTCCCCCACCCAGCTGCGTCTCTTCCCCCACCCAGCTGCGTTCTCCCCCCACCCAGCTGCGTCTTCATTCCCCCCACCCAGCTGCGTTCTTCCCCCACCCAGCTGCGTTCTCCCCCCACCCAGCTGCGTTTCTTCCCCCACCCAGCTGCGTTCTTCCCCCACCCAGCTGCGTTCTTCCCCCACCCAGCTGCGTTCTTCCCCCACCCATGCTGCGTTTCTCCCCCACCCAGCTTGCGTTCTTCCCCACCCAGCTGCGTCTTCCCCCCACCCAGCTGCGTTCTTCCCCCACCCAGAGCTGCGTTCTTCCCCCACCCAAGCTGCCGTTCTTCCCCCACCAGCTGCGTTCTTCCCCACCCAAGCTGCGTTCTTCCCCCACCCAGCTGCGTTCTTCCCCCACCCAGCTGCGTTCTTCCCCCACCCAGCTGCGTTCTTCCCCCACCCAGCTGCGTTCTTCCCCACCCAGCTGCGTTCTTCCCCACCCAGCTGCGTTCTTCCCCACCCAGCTGCGTTCTTCCCCCACCCAGCTGCGTTCTTCCCCCACCCAGCTGCACGGTTCTTTCCCCCCACCCAGCTGCGTTCTTCCCCCACCCAGCTGCGTTCTTCCCCCCACCCCAGCTGCGTTCTTCCCCCACCCAGCTGGCGTTCTTCCCCCACCCAGCTGCGTTTCTTCCCCCACCCAGCTGCGTTTCTTCCCCACCCAGCTGCGTTCTTCCCCCACCCAGCTGCGTTCTTCCCCCACCAGCTGCGTTCTTCCCCCACCAGCTGCGTTCTTCCCCCACCCAGCTGCGTTCTTCCCCACCCCAGCTGCGTTTTCTTCCCCCACCCAGTTGCGTTCTTCCCCCACCCAGCTGCGTTCTTCCCCCACCCAGCTGCGTTCTTCCCCCCACCCAGCTGCGTTCTTCCCCCCACCCAGCTGCGTTCTTCCCCCACCCAGCTGCGTTCTTCCCCACCCAGCTGCGTTCTTCCCCCACCCCAGCTGCGTTCTTCCCCCACCCAGCTGCGTTCTTCCCCCACCCAGCTGCGTTCTCCCCCCACCCAGCTGCGTTCTTCCCCCACCCAGCTGCGTTCTTTCCCCCACCCAGCTGCGTTCTTGCCCCCCACCCAGCTGCGTTCTTCCCCCACCCAGCTGCGTTCTTCCCCCACCAGCTGCGTTCTTCCCCCACCCAGCTGCGTTCTTCCCCCATCCAGCTGCGTTCTTCCCCCACCCAGCTGCGTTCTTCCCCACCCAGCTTGCGTTCTTCCCCCACCCAGCTGAGTTCTTCCCCCACCCAGCTGCGTTCTTCCCCCCAACCCAGCTGCGTTCTCCCCACCCAGCTGCGTTCTTCCCCCACCCAGCTGCGTTCTTCCCCCACCCAGCTGCGTTCTTCCCCACCCAGCTGCGTTCTTCCCCCACCCAGCTGCGTTCTTCCCCCCACCCAGCTGCGTTCTTCCCCCACCCAGCTGCGTTCTTCCCCCACCCAGCTGCGTTCTTCCCCACCCAGCTGCGTTCTTCCCCCACCCAGCTGCGTTCTTCCCCCACCCAGCTGCGTTCTTCCCCCACCCAGCTGCGTTCTTCCCCCACCCAGCTGCGTTCTTCCCCCACCCAGCTGCGTTTCTCCCCACCCAGCTGCGTTCTTCCCCCCCCCACCCAGCTGCGTTCTTCCCCCACCCAGCTGCGTTCTTCCCCCACCCAGCTGCGTTCTTCCCCACCCAGCTGCGTTCTTCCCCCACCCAGCTGCGTTCTTCCCCCACCCAGCTGCGTTCTTCCCCCACCCAGCTGCGTTCTTCCCCCACCCAGCTGCGTTCTCCCCCACCCAGCTGCGTTCTTCCCCACCCAGCTGCGTTCTCCCCCACCCAGCTGCGTTCTTCCCCCACCCAGCTGCGTTCTTCCCCCACCCAGCTGCGTTCTTCCCCCACCCAGCTGCGTTCTTCCCCCACCCAGCTGCGTTCTTCCCCCACCCAGCTGCGTTCTTCCCCCACCCAGCTGCGTTCTTCCCCACCCAGCTGCGTTCTTCCCCCACCCAGCTGCGTTCTTCCCCCACCCAGCTGCGTTCTTCCCCCACCCAGCTGCGTTCTTCCCCCACCCAGCTGCGTTCTTCCCCCACCCAGCTGCGTTCGCTCCCCCACCCAGCTGCGTTCTTCCCCACCCAGCTGCGTTCTTCCCCCACCCAGCTGCGTTCTTCCCCCCACCCAGCTGCGTTCTTCCCCCACCCAGCTGCGTTCTTCCCCCACCATGCTGCGTTCTTCCCACCAGCTGCGTTCTCCCCCACCCATCGCGTTCTTCCCCCCACCCAGCTGCGTTCTCCCCCACCCAGCTGCGTTCTTCCCCCACCCAGCTGCGTTCTTCCCCCACCAGCTGCGTTCTTCCCCCACCCAGCTGCGTCTTCCCCCACCCAGCTGCGTTCTTCCCCCACCCAGCTGCGTTCTTCCCCAACCCAGCTGCATTCTTCCCCCACCCAGCTGCGTTCTTCCCCACCCAGCTGCGTTCTTCCCCCACCCAGCTGCGTTCTTCCCCCACCAGCTGCGTTCTTCCCCCACCCCAGCTGCGTTCTTCCCCCACCCAGCTGCGTTCTTCCCCCCACCCAGCTGCGTTCTTCCCCCACCCAGCTGCGTTCTTCCCCCCACCCAGCTGCGTTCTCCCCCACCCAGCTGCGTTCTTCCCCCACCCAGCTGCGTTCTTCCCCCACCCAGCTGCGTTCTTCCCCCACCCAGCTGCGTTCTTCCCCCACCCAGCTGCGTTCTTCCCCCACCCAGCTGCGTTCTTTCCCCCCACCCAGCTGCGTTCTTCCCCCACCCAGCTGCGTTTCTTCCCCACCCAGCTGCGTTCTTCCCCCACCCAGCTGCGTTCTTCCCCCACCAGCTGCGTCTTCCCCCCCCACCCAGCTGCTTTCTTCCCCCACCCAGCTGCGTTCTTCCCCCACCCAGCTGCGTTCTTCCCCCACCCAGCTGCGTTCTTCCCCCACCAGCTGCGTTCTTTCCCCCACCCAGCTGCGTTCTTCCCCCACCCAGCTGCGTTCTTCCCCCACCCAGCTGCGTTCTTCCCCCACCCAGCTGCGTTCTTCCCCCCACCCAGCTGCGTTCTTCCCCCACCCAGCTGCGTTCTTCCCCCACCCAGCTGCGTTCTTCCCCACCCAGCTGCGTTCTTCCCCCACCCAGCTGCGTTCTTCCCCCACCCAGCTGCGTTCTTCCCCACCCAGCTGCGTTCTTCCCCCACCCAGCTGCGTTCTTCCCCACCCAGCTGCGTTCTTCCCCCACCCAGCTGCGTTCTTCCCCCACCCAGCTGCGTTCTTCCCCCACCCAGCTGCGTTCTTCCCCCACCCAGCTGCGTTCTTCCCCCCACCCAGCTGCGTTCTTCCCCCACCCAGCTGCGTTCTTCCCCCACCCAGCTGCGTTCTTCCCCCACCCAGCTGCGTTCTTCCCCCCCCAGGTCTTCCCCCGACCCAGCTGCGTTCTTCCCCCACCCAGCTGCGTTCTTCCCCCACCCAGCTGCGTTCTTCCCCCACCCAGCTGCGTTCTCCCCCACCCAGCTGCGTTCTTCCCCCACCCAGCTGCGTTCTTCCCCCACCCAGCTGCGTTCTTCCCCCACCCAGCTGCGTTCTTCCCCCACCCAGCTGCGTTCTTCCCCCACCCAGCTGCGTTCTTCCCCCACCCAGCTGCGTTCTTCCCCCACCCAGCTGCGTTCTTCCCCCCACCCAGCTGCGTTCTTCCCCCACCCAGCTGCGTTCTTCCCCCACCCAGCTGCGTTCTTCCCCCACCAGCTGCGTTCTCCCCCACCCAGCTGCGTTCTTCCCCCACCCAGCTGCGTTCTTCCCCCACCCAGCTGCGTTCTTCCCCCACCCAGCTGCGTTCTTCCCCACCCAGCTGCGTTCTTCCCCCACCCAGCTGCGTTCTTCCCCCACCCAGCTGCGTTCTTCCCCCACCCAGCTGCGTTCTTCCCCCACCCAGCTGCGTTCTTCCCCCCCACCCAGCTGCGTTCTTCCCCCACCCAGCTGCGTTCTTCCCCCACCCAGCTGCGTTCTTCCCCCACCCAGCTGCGTTCTTCCCCCACCCAGCTGCGTTCTTCCCCCACCCAGCTGCGTTCTTCCCCCCACCAGCTGCGTTCTTCCCCCCACCCAGCTGCGTTCTTCCCCCACCCAGCTGCGTTCTTCCCCCCACCCAGCTGCGTTCTTCCCCCACCCAGCTGCGTTCTTCCCCCACCCCAGCTGAGTTCTTCCCCCACCCAGCTGCGTTCTCCCCCCACCCCAGCTGCGTTCTTCCCCCCACCCAGCTGCGTTCTTCCCCCACCCAGCTGCGTTCTTCCCCCACCCAGCTGCGTTCTTCCCCCACCCAGCTGCGTTCTTCCCCACCCATCTGCGTTCTTCCCCACCCAGCTGCGTTCTTCCCCACCCAGCTGCGTTCTTCCCCCCACCCAGCTGCGTTCTTCCCCCCACCCAGCTGCGTTCTTCCCCCACCCAGCTGCGTTCTTCCCCCACCCAGCTGCGTTCTTCCCCCACCCAGCTGCGTTCTTCCCCCACCCAGCTGCGTTCTCCCCCACCCAGCTGCGTTCTTCCCCCACCCAGCTGCGTTCTTCCCCCACCCAGCTGCGTTCTTCCCCCCACCCAGCTGCGTTCTTCCCCCACCCAGCTGCGTTCTTCCCCCACCCAGCTGCGTTCTTCCCCCACCCAGCTGCGTTCTTCCCCCACCCAGCTGCGTTCTTCCCCCACCCAGCTGCGTTCTTCCCCCACCCAGCTGCGTTCTTCCCCCACCCAGCTGCGTTCTTCCCCCACCCAGCTGCGTTCTTCCCCCACCCAGCTGCGTTCTTCCCCCACCCAGCTGCGTTCTTCCCCCACCCAGCTGCGTTCTTCCCCCACCCAGCTGCGTTCTTCCCCCACCAGCTGCGTTCTTCCCCCACCCAGCTGCGTTCTTCCCCCACCCAGCTGCGTTCTTCCCCCACCCAGCTGCGTTCTTCCCCCCACCCAGCTGCGTTCTCTTCCCCCACCCAGCTGCGTTCTTCCCCCACCCAGCTGCGTTCTTCCCCCACCCAGCTGGCGTTCTTCCCCCACCCAGCTGCGTTCTTCCCCCACCCAGCTGCGTTCTTTCCCCCACCCAGCTGCGTTCCTTCCCCCACCCAGCTGCGTTCTTCCCCCACCCAGCTGCGTTCTTCCCCCACCCAGCTGCGTTCTTCCCCCACCCAGCTGCGTTCTTCCCCCACCCAGCTGCGTTCTTCCCCCACCCAGCTTGCGTTCTTCCCCCACCCAGCTGCGTTCTTCCCCCATCCCCAGCTGCGTTCTTCCCCCCACCCAGCTGCGTTCTTCCCCCACCAGGTTCTTCCCCAAGCTTGCGTTCTTCCCCCACCCAGCTGCGTTCTTCCCCCACCCAGCTGCGTTCTTCCCCCACCCAGCTGCGTTCTTCCCCCACCAGCTGCGTTCTTCCCCCACCCAGCTGCGTTCTTCCCCCACCCAGCTGCGTTCTTCCCCCACCCAGCTGCGTTCTTCCCCCACCCAGCTGGTTCTTCCCCCACCCAGCTGCGTTCTTCCCCCACCCAGCTGCGTTCTTCCCCCACCCAGCTGCGTTCTTCCCCCACCCAGCTGCGTTTCTTCCCCCACCCAGCTGCGTTCTTCCCCCACCCAGCTGCGTTCTTCCCCCACCCAGCTGCGTTCTTCCCCCACCCAGCTGCGTTCTTCCCCCACCCAGCTGCGTTCTTCCCCCACCCAGCTGCGTTCTTCCCCCACCCAGCTGCGTTCTTCCCCCACCCAGCTGCGTTCTTCCCCCACCCAGCTGCGTTCTTCCCCCACCCAGCTGCGTTCTTCCCCCACCCAGCTGCGTTCTTCCCCCACCCAGCTGCGTTCTTCCCCCACCCAGCTGCGTTCTTCCCCCACCCAGCTGCGTTCTTCCCCCACCCAGCTGCGTTCTTCCCCCACCCAGCTGCGTTCTTCCCCCACCCAGCTGCGTTCTTCCCCCACCCAGCTGCGTTCTTCCCCCACCCAGCTGCGTTCTTCCCCCACCCAGCTGCGTTCTTCCCCCACCCAGCTGCGTTCTTCCCCCACCCAGCTGCGTTCTTCCCCCACCCAGCTGCGTTCTTCCCCCACCCAGCTGCGTTCTTCCCCCACCCAGCTGCGTTCTCCCCCACCCAGCTGCGTTCTTCCCCCACCCAGCTGCGTTCTTCCCCCACCCAGCTGCGTTCTTCCCCCCACCCAGCTGCGTTCTTCCCCCACCCAGCTGCGTTCTTCCCCCCACCCAGCTGCGTTCTTCCCCCACCCAGCTGCGTTCCTCCCCACCCAGCTGCGTTCTTCCCCCACCAGCTGCGTTCTTCCCCCACCCAGCTGCGTCTTCCCCCACCCAGCTGCGTTCTTCCCCCACCCAGCTGCGTTCTTCCCCCCACCCAGCTGCGTTCTTCCCCACCCAGCTGCGTTCTTCCCCCACCCAGCTGCGTTCTTCCCCCCACCCAGCTGCGTTCTCCCCCCACCCAGCTGCGTTCTTCCCCCACCCAGCTGCGTTCTTCCCCCACCCAGCTGCGTTCTTCCCCCACCCAGCTGCGTTCTTCCCCATCCAGCTCCGTTCTCCCCCACCCAGCTGCGTTCTTCCCCCACCCAGCTGCGTTCTTCCCCCACCCAGCTGCGTTTTTCCCCACCCAGCTGCGTTCTTCCCCCACCCAGCTGCGTTCTCCCCCACCAGCTGCGTTCTTCCCCACCCAGCTGCTTTCTTCCCCCACCCAGCTGCGTTCTTCCCCCACCCAGCTGCGTTCTTCCCCATTCCAGCTGCGTTCTTCCCCCACCCAGCTGCGTTCTTCCCCCACCCAGCTGCGTTCTTCCCCCACCAGCTGCGTTCTTCCCCCACCCAGCTGCGTTCTTCCCCCACCCAGCTGCGTTCTTCCCCCACCCAGCTGCGTTCTTTCCCCCACCCAGCTGCGTTCTTCCCCCACCCAGCTGCGTTCTTCCCCCACCAGCTGCGTTTTCCCCCACCCAGCTGCGTTCTTCCCCCACCCAGCTGCGTTCTTCCCCCCACCCAGCTGCGTTCTTCCCCCACCCAGCTGCGTTCTTCCCCACCCAGCTGCGTTCTTCCCCCACCCAGCTGCGTTCTTCCCCCACCCAGCTGCGTTCTTCCCCCACCCAGCTGCGTTCTTCCCCCACCCAGCTGCGTTCTTCCCCCACCCAGCTGCGTTCTTCCCCCACCCAGCCTGCGTTCTTCCCCCACCCCAGCTGCGTTCTTCCCCACCCAGCTGCGTTCTTCCCCCACCCAGCTGCGTTCTTCCCCCACCCAGCTGCGTTCTTCCCCCACCCAGTTGCGTTCTTCCCCCACCCAGCTGCGTTCTTCCCCCACCCAGCTGCGTTCTTCCCCCACCCAGCTGCGTTCTTCCCCCACCCAGCTGCGTTCTTCCCCCACCCAGCTGCGTTCTTCCCCCACCCAGCTGCGTTCTTCCCCCACCCAGCACGTTCTTCCCCCACCCAGCTGCGTTCTTCCCCCCACCCAGCTGCGTTCTTCCCCCACCCAGCTGCGTTCTTCCCCCACCCAGCTGCGTTCTTCCCCCACCAGCTGCGTTCTTCCCCCACCCAGCTGCGTTTCTTCCCCCACCCAGCTGCGTTCTTCCCCCACCCAGCTGCGTTCTTCCCCCACCCAGCTGCGTTCTTCCCCCACCCAGCTGCGTTCTTCCCCCACCCAGCTGCGTTCTTCCCCCCACCCAGCTGCGTTCTTCCCCCACCCAGCTGCGTTCTTCCCCCACCCAGCTGCGTTCTTCCCCCACCCAGCTGCGTTCTTCCCCCACCCAGCTGCGTTCTTCCCCCACCCAGCTGCGTTCTTCCCCCACCCAGCTGCGTTCTTCCCCCACCCAGCTGCGTTCTTCCCCCACCCAGCTGCGTTCTTCCCCCACCCAGCTGCGTTCTTCCCCCACCCAGCTGCGTTCTTCCCCCACCCAGCTGCGTTCTTCCCCCACCCAGCTGCGTTCTTCCCCCACCCAGCTGCGTTCTTCCCCCACCCAGCTGCGTTCTTCCCCCACCCAGCTGCGTTCTTCCCCCACCCAGCTGCGTTCTTCCCCCCACCCAGCTGCGTTCTTCCCCCACCCAGCTGCGTTCTTCCCCCACCCAGCTGCGTTCTTCCCCCACAACAGCTGCGTTCTTCCCCCACCCAGCTGCGTTCTTCCCCCACCCAGCTGCGTTCTTCCCCCACCCAGCTGCGTTCTTCCCCCACCCAGCTGCGTTCTTCCCCCACCCAGCTGCGTTCTTCCCCCACCCAGCTGCGTTCTTCCCCCACCCAGCTGCGTTCTTCCCCCACCCAGCTGCGTTCTTCCCCCACCCAGCTGCGTTCTTCCCCCACCCAGCCTGCGTTCTTCCCCCACCCAGCTGCGTTCTTCCCCCACCCAGCTGCGTTCTTCCCCCACCCAGCTGCGTTCTTCCCCCACCCAGCTGCGTTCTTCCCCCACCCAGCTGCGTTCTTCCCCCACCCAGCTGCGTTCTTCCCCCACCCAGCTGCGTTCTCCCCCACCCAGCTGGCGTTCTTCCCCCACCCAGCTGCGTTCTTCCCCCACCCAGCTGCGTTCTTCCCCCACCCAGCTGCGTTCTTCCCCCACCCAGCTGCGTTCTTCCCCCACCCAGCTGCGTTCTTCCCCACCCAGTGCGTTCTTCCCCCACCCAGCTGCGTTCTTCCCCCACCCAGCTGCGTTCTTCCCCCACCCAGCTGCGTTCTTCCCCCACCCAGCTGCGTTCTTCCCCCACCCAGCTGCGTTCTTCCCCCACCCAGCTGCGTTCTTCCCCCACCCAGCTGCGTTCTTCCCCACCCAGCTGCGTTCTTCCCCCACCCAGCCTGCGTTCTTCCCCCACCCAGCTGCGTTCTTCCCCCACCCAGCTGCGTTCTTCCCCCACCCAGCTGCGTTCTTCCCCCCACCCAGCTGCGTTCTTCCCCCACCCAGCTGCGTTCTTCCCCCACCCAGCTGCGTTCTTCCCCCACCCAGCTGCGTTCTTCCCCCACCCAGCTGCGTTCTTCCCCCACCCAGCTGCGTTCTTCCCCACCCAGCTGCGTTCTTCCCCCACCCAGCTGCGTTCTTCCCCCACCCAGCTTGCGTTCTTCCCCCACCCAGCTGCGTTCTTCCCCCACCCAGCTGCGTTCTTCCCCCACCCAGCTGCGTTCTTCCCCCACCCAGCTGCGTTCTTCCCCACCCAGCTGCGTTCTTCCCCCACCCAGCTGCGTTCTTCCCCCACCCAGCTGCGTTCTTCCCCCACCCAGCTGCGTTCTTCCCCCACCCAGCTGCGTTCTTCCCCCCACCCAGCGCGTTCTCCCCAGCCGTCTTCCCCCACCCAGCTGCGTTCTTCCCCACCCAGCTGCGTTCTTCCCCCACCCAGCTGCGTTCTTCCCCCACCCAGCTGCGTTCTTCCCCCACCCAGCTGCGTTCTTCCCCCACCCAGCTGCGTTCTTCCCCCACCCAGCTGCGTTCTTCCCCCACCCAGCTGCGTTCTTCCCCCACCAGCTGCGTTCTTCCCCCACCCAGCTGCGTTTCTTCCCCCACCCAGCTGCGTTCTTCCCCCACCCAGCTGCGTTCTTCCCCCACCCAGCTGCGTCTTCCCCCACCCAGCTGCGTTCTTCCCCCACCCAGCTGCGTTCTTCCCCCACCAGCTGCGTTCTTCCCCCACCCAGCTGCGTTCTTCCCCCACCCAGCTGCGTTCTTCCCCCACCCAGCTGCGTTCTTCCCCCCACCAGCTGCGTTCTTCCCCCACCCAGCTGCGTTCTTCCCCCCACCCAGCTGCGTTCTTCCCCCACCCAGCTGCGTTCTTCCCCCACCCAGCTGCGTTCTTCCCCCACCCAGCTGCGTTCTTCCCCCACCCAGCTGCGTTCTTCCCCCCACCCAGCTGCGTTCTTCCCCACCCAGCTGCGTTCTTCCCCCACCCAGCTGCGTTCTTCCCCCACCCAGCTGCGTTCTTCCCCCACCCAGCTGCGTCTTCCCCCACCCAGCTGCGTTCTTCCCCCACCCAGCTGCGTTCTTCCCCCCACCCAGCTGCGTTCTTCCCCCCACCCAGCTGCGTTCTTCCCCCACCCAGCTGCGTTCTCCCCCACCCAGCTGCGTCTCTTCCCCCACCCAGCTGCGTTCTTCCCCCACCCCAGCTGCGTTCTTCCCCCACCCAGTGCGTTCTTCCCCCACCCAGCTGCGTTCTTCCCCCACCCAGCTGCGTTCTTCCCCCACCCAGCTGCGTTCTTCCCCCACCCAGCTGCGTTCTTCCCCCCACCCAGCTGCGTTCTTCCCCCACCCAGCTGCGGTTTCTTCCCCCACCCGCTGGCGTTCTTCCCCCACCCAGCTGCGTTTCTTCCCCCACCCAGCTGCGTTCTTCCCCCACCCAGCTGCGTTCTCCCCCCACCAGCCTGCGTTCTTCCCCCACCCAGCTGCGTTTTCCCCCCCAGCTGCGTTCTTCCCCCCACCCAGCTGCGTTCTTCCCCACCCAGCTGCGTTCTTCCCCCACCCAGCTGCGTTCTTCCCCCCACCCAGCTGCGTTCTTCCCCCACCCAGCTGCGTTCTTCCCCCCACCCAGCTGCGTCTTCCCCCCACCCAGCTGCGTTCTTCCCCACCCAGCTGCGTTCTTCCCCCCACCCAGCTGCGTTCCTTCCCCCCACCCCAGCTGCGTTCTTCCCCCCCACCCAGCTGCGTTCTCCCCCACCCAGCTGCGTTCTTCCCCCACCCAGCTGCGTTCTTCCCCCACCCAGCTGCGTTCTTCCCCCACCCAGCTGCGTTCTTCCCCCACCCAGCTGCGTCTTCCCCCACCCAGCCTACGTTCTTCCCCCACCCAGCTGCGTTCTTCCCCCACCCAGCTGCGTTCTTCCCCCACCCAGCTGCGTTCTTCCCCCACCCAGCTGCGTTCTTCCCCCACCCAGCTGCGTTCTTCCCCCACCCAGCTGCGTTCTTCCCCCACCCAGCTGCGTTCTTCCCCCACCCAGCTGCGTTCTTCCCCCACCCAGCTGCGTTCTTCCCCCACCCAGCTGCGTTCTTCCCCCACCCAGCTGCGTTCTTCCCCCACCCAGCTGCGTTCTTCCCCCACCCAGCTGCGTTCTTCCCCCACCCAGCTGCGTTCTTCCCCCACCCAGCTGCGTTCTTCCCCCACCCAGCTGCGTTCTTCCCCCACCCAGCTGCGTTCTTCCCCCACCCAGCTGCGTTCTTCCCCCACCCAGCTGCGTTCTTCCCCCACCCAGCTGCGTTCTTCCCCCACCCAGCTGCGTTCTTCCCCCACCCAGCTGCGTTCTTCCCCCACCCAGCTGCGTTCTTCCCCCACCCAGCTGCGTTCTTCCCCACCCAGCTGCGTCTCCCCCCCACCCAGCTGCGTTCTTCCCCCCACCCAGCTGCGTTCTCCCCCACCCAGCTGCGTTTCTTCCCCACCCCAGCTGCGTTCTTCCCCCACCCAGCTGCGTTCTTCCCCCACCCAGCTGCGTTCTTCCCCCACCCAGCTGCGTTCTTCCCCCACCCAGCTGCGTTCTTCCCCCACCCAGCTGCGTTCTTCCCCCACCCAGCTGCGTCTTCCCCCACCCAGCTGCGTTCTTCCCCCACCCAGCTGCGTTCTTCCCCCACCCAGCTGCCGTTCTTCCCCCACCCAGCTGCGTTCTTCCCCCACCAGCTGCGTTCTTCCCCACCCAGCTGCGTTCTTCCCCCCACCCAGCTGCGTTCTTCCCCCACCCAGCTGCGTTCTTCCCCCACCCAGCTGCGTTCTTCCCCCCACCCAGCTGCGTTCTTCCCCCACCCAGCTGCGTTCTTCCCCCTACCCACCAGCTGCGTTCTTCCCCCACCCAGCTGCGTTCTTCCCCCACCCAGCTGCGTTCTTCCCCCACCCAGCTGCGTTCTTCCCCCACCCAGCTGCGTTTCTTCCCCCACCCAGCTGCGTTCTTCCCCCACCCAGCTGCGTTCTTCCCCCACCCAGCTGCGTTCTTCCCCCACCCAGCTGCGGTTCTTCCCCCACCCAGCTGCGTTCTTCCCCCACCCAGCTGCGTTTCTTCCCCCACCCAGCTGCGTTCTTCCCCACCCAGCTGCGTTCTTCCCCCCCCGCTGCGTTCTTCCCCCCCCCAGCTGGTTCTTCCCCCACCCAGCTGCGTTCTTCCCCCACCCAGCTGCGTTCTTCCCCCACCCAGCTGCGTTCTTCCCCCACCCAGCTGCGTTCTTCCCCCACCCAGCTGCGTTCTTCCCCCACCAGCTGCGTTCTTCCCCCCACCCAGCTGCGTTCTTCCCCCACCCAGCTGCGTTCTTCCCCCACCCAGCTGCGTTCTTCCCCCACCAGCTGCGTTCTTCCCCCACCCAGCTGCGTTCTTCCCCCACCCAGCTGCGTTCTTCCCCCACCCAGCTGCGTTCTTTCCCCCACCCAGCTGCGTCTTTCCCCCACCCAGCTGCGTTCTTCCCCCACCCAGCTGCGTTCTTCCCCCACCCAGCTGCGTTCTTCCCCCACCAGCTGCGTTCTTCCCCCACCCAGCTGCGTTCTTCCCCCACCCAGCTGCGTTCTTCCCCCACCCAGCTGCGTTCTTCCCCCACCCAGCTGCGTTCTTCCCCCACCCAGCTGCGTTCTTCCCCCACCCAGCTGCGTTCTTCCCCCACCCAGCTGCGTTCTTCCCCCACCCAGCTGCGTTCTTCCCCCACCCAGCTGCGTTCTTCCCCCACCCAGCTGCGTTCTTCCCCCACCCAGCTGCGTTCTTCCCCCACCCAGCTGCGTTCTTCCCCCACCCAGCTGCGTTCTTCCCCCACCCAGCTGCGTTCTTCCCCCACCCAGCTGCGTTCTTCCCCCACCCAGCTGCGTTCTTCCCCCACCCAGCTGCGTTCTTCCCCCACCCAGCTGCGTTCTTCCCCCACCCAGCTGCGTTCTTCCCCCACCCAGCTGCGTTCTTCCCCCACCCAGCTGCGTTCTTCCCCCACCCAGCTGCGTTCTTCCCCCACCCAGCTGCGTTCTTCCCCCACCCAGCTGCGTTCTTCCCCCACCCAGCTGCGTTCTTCCCCCACCCAGCTGCGTTCTTCCCCCACCCAGCTGCGTTCTTCCCCCACCCAGCTGCGTTCTTCCCCCACCCAGCTGCGTTCTTCCCCCACCCAGCTGCGTTCTTCCCCCACCCAGCTGCGTTCTTCCCCCACCCAGCTGCGTTCTTCCCCCACCCAGCTGCGTTCTTCCCCCACCCAGCTGCGTTCTTCCCCCACCCAGCTGCGTTCTTCCCCCACCCAGCTGCGTTCTTCCCCACCCAGCTGCGTTCTTCCCCCACCCAGCTGCGTTCTTCCCCCACCCAGCTGCGTTCTTCCCCCACCCAGCTGCGTTCTTCCCCCACCCAGCTGCGTTCTTCCCCCACCCAGCTGCGTTCTTCCCCCACCCAGCTGCGTTCTTCCCCCACCCAGCTGCGTTCTTCCCCCACCCAGCTGCGTTCTTCCCCCACCCAGCTGCGTTCTTCCCCCACCCAGCTGCGTTCTTCCCCCACCCAGCTGCGTTCTTCCCCCACCCAGCTGCGTTCTTCCCCCACCCAGCTGCGTTCTTCCCCACCCAGCTGCGTTCTTCCCCCACCCAGCTGCGTTCTTCCCCCACCCAGCTGCGTTCTTCCCCCACCCAGCTGCGTTCTTCCCCCACCCAGCTGCGTTCTTCCCCCACCCAGCTGCGTTCTTCCCCCACCCAGCTGCGTTCTTCCCCCACCCAGCTGCGTTCTTCCCCCACCCAGCTGCGTTCTTCCCCCACCCAGCTGCGTTCTTCCCCCACCCAGCTGCGTTCTTCCCCCACCCAGCTGCGTTCTTCCCCCACCCAGCTGCGTTCTTCCCCCACCCAGCTGCGTTCTTCCCCCACCCAGCTGCGTTCTTCCCCCACCCAGCTGCGTTCTTCCCCCACCCAGCTGCGTTCTTCCCCCACCCAGCTGCGTTCTTCCCCCACCCAGCTGCGTTCTTCCCCCACCCAGCTGCGTTCTTCCCCCACCCAGCTGCGTTCTTCCCCCACCCAGCTGCGTTCTTCCCCCACCCAGCTGCGTTCTTCCCCCACCCAGCTGCGTTCTTCCCCCACCCAGCTGCGTTCTTCCCCCACCCAGCTGCGTTCTTCCCCCACCCAGCTGCGTTCTTCCCCCACCCAGCTGCGTTCTTCCCCCACCCAGCTGCGTTCTTCCCCCACCCAGCTGCGTTCTTCCCCCACCCAGCTGCGTTCTTCCCCCACCCAGCTGCGTTCTTCCCCCACCCAGCTGCGTTCTTCCCCCACCCAGCTGCGTTCTTCCCCCACCCAGCTGCGTTCTTCCCCCACCCAGCTGCGTTCTTCCCCCACCCAGCTGCGTTCTTCCCCCACCCAGCTGCGTTCTTCCCCCACCCAGCTGCGTTCTTCCCCCACCCAGCTGCGTTCTTCCCCCACCCAGCTGCGTTCTTCCCCACCCAGCTGCGTTCTTCCCCCACCCAGCTGCGTTCTTCCCCCACCCAGCTGCGTTCTTCCCCCACCCAGCTGCGTTCTTCCCCCACCCAGCTGCGTTCTTCCCCCACCCAGCTTGCGTTCTTCCCCCACCCAGCTGCGTTCTTCCCCCACCCAGCTGCGTTCTTCCCCCACCCAGCTGCGTTCTTCCCCCCACCCCAGCTGCGTTCTCTCCCCCCACCCAGCTGCGTTCTTCCCCCACCCAGCTGCGTTCTTCCCCCACCCAGGCTGCGTTCTTCCCCCACCCAGCTGCGTTCTTCCCCCACCCAGCTGCGTTCTTCCCCCACCCAGCTGCGTTCTTCCACCACCAGCTGCGTTCTTTCCCCCACCAGCTGCGTTCTTCCCCCCACCCAGCTGCGTTCTCCCCCCACCCAGCTGCGTTCTTCCCCCACCCAGCTGCGTTCTTCTCCCCACCCAGCTGCGTTCTCCCCACCCAGCTGCGTTCTTCCCCCCACCCAGCTGCGTTCTTCCCCCACCCAGCTGCGTTCTTCCCCCACCCAGCTGCGTTCCTTCCCCCCACCCAGCCTGCGTTCTTCCCCCACCCAGCTGCGTTCTTCCCCCCCCCAGCTGCGTTCTTCCCCACCCAGCTGCGTTCTTCCCCCACCCAGCTGCGTTCTTCCCCCACCCAGCTGCGTTCTTCCCCCACCCAGCTGCGTTCTTCCCCCACCCAGCTGCGTTCTTCCCCCACCCAGCTGCGTTCTTCCCCCACCCAGCTGCGTTCTTCCCCCACCCAGCTGCGTTCTTCCCCCACCCAGCTGCGTTCTTCCCCCACCCAGCTGCGTTCTTCCCCCACCCAGCTGCGTTCTTCCCCCACCCAGCTGCGTTCTTCCCCCACCCAGCTGCGTTCTTCCCCCACCCAGCTGCGTTCTTCCCCCACCCAGCTGCGTTCTTCCCCCACCCAGCTGCGTTCTTCCCCCACCCAGCTGCGTTCTTCCCCCACCCAGCTGCGTTCTTCCCCCACCCAGCTGCGTTCTTCCCCCACCCAGCTGCGTTCTTCCCCCACCCAGCTGCGTTCTTCCCCCACCCAGCTGCGTTCTTCCCCCACCCAGCTGCGTTCTTCCCCCACCCAGCTGCGTTTCTTCCCCCACCCAGCTGCGTTCTTCCCCCACCCAGCTGGCGTTCTTCCCACACCCAGCTGCGTTCTTCCCCCACCAGCTGCGTTCTGTCCCCCCACCCAGCTGCGGTTCTTTTTTTTTTTTTCCCCCGCACCAGCTGCGTTCTTCCCCCACCCCAGCTTGCGTTCTTCCCCACCCCTCTGCGTTCTTCCCCCACCCAGCTGCGTTCTTCCCCCACCCCAGCTGCGTTCTCTTCCCCCACCCAGCTGGGTTTCTTCCCCCACCCAGCTGCGTTCTCCCCCCACCCAGCTGCGTTCTTCCCCCCCCACCCAGCTGCGTTCTTCCCCCACCCAGCTGCGTTCTTCCCCCACCCAGCTGCGTTCTTCCCCCACCCAGCTGCGTTCTTCCCCCACCCAGCTGCGTTCTTCCCCCACCAGCTGCGTTCTTCCCCCACCCAGCTGCGTTCTTCCCCCACCCAGCTGCGTTCTTCCCCCACCCAGCTGCGTTCTTCCCCACCCAGCTGCGTTCTTCCCCACCCAGCTGCGTTCTTCCCCCACCCAGCTGCGTTCTTCCCCCACCAGCTGCGTTCTTCCCTCACCCAGCCTGCGTTCTTCCCCCACCCAGCTGCTTTCCCCCCCCACCCAGCTGCGTTCTTCCCCCACCCAGCTTCGTTCTTCCCCCACCAGCTGCGTTTTCCCCCACCAGCTGCGTTCTTCCCTCCCACCCAGCTGCGTTCTTCCCCCACCCCAGCTGCGTTCTACCCCCCACCCAGCTGCGTTTCTTCCCCCACCCAGCTGCGTTCTTCCCCCACCCAGCTGCGTTCTTTCCCCCACCCAGCTGCGTTCCTCCCCCACCCAGCTGCGTTCTTCCCCCACCCAGTGCGTCTTCCCCCACCCAGCTGCGTTCTTCCCCCACCCAGCTGCGTTCTTCCCCCCACCCAGCTGCGTTTCTTCCCCCCACCCAGCTGCGTTCTTCCCCCACCCAGCTGCGTTCTTCCCCCACCCAGCTGCGGTTCTTCCCCCACCCAGCTGCTGTTCTTCCCCCACCCAGCTGCGTTCTTCCCCCACCCAGCTGCGTTCTTCCCCCACCCAGCTGCGTTCTTCCCCCACCAGCTGCGTTCTTCCCCCCACCCAGCTGCGTTCTTCCCCCACCCAGCTGCGTTCTTCCCCCCACCCAGCTGCGTTTTTCCCCCACCCAGCTGCGTTCTTCCCCCACCAGCTGCGTTCTTCCCCCACCCAGCTGCGTTCTGTCCCCCACCCAGCTGCGTTCTTCCCCCACCCAGCTGCGTTCTTCCCCCACCCAGCTGCGTTCTTCCCCCACCCAGCTGCGTTCTTCCCCCACCCAGCTTGCGTTCTTCCCCCACCCAGCTGCGTTCTTCCCCCACCCAGCTGCGTTCTTCCCCCACCAGCTGCGTTTCTCTCCCCCACCCCAGCTGCGTTCTTCCCCCCACCCAGCTGCGTTCTTCCCCCCAGCGTTCTCCCCCACCCAGCTGCGTTCTTCCCCCACCCAGCTGCGTTCTTCCCCCACCCAGCTGCGTTCTTCCCCCACCCAGCTGCGTTCTTCCCCCACCCAGCTGCGTTCTTCCCCCACCCAGCTGCGTTCTTCCCCCACCCAGCTGCGTTCTTCCCCACCCAGCTGCGTTCTTCCCCCACCCAGCTGCGTTCTTCCCCCACCCAGCTGCGTTCTTCCCCCACCCAGCTGCGTTCTTCCCCCACCCAGCTGCGTTCTTCCCCCACCCAGCTGCGTTCTTCCCCCACCCAGCTGCGTTCTTCCCCCACCCAGCTGCGTTCTTCCCCCACCCAGCTGCGTTTTCCCCCACCCAGCTGCGTTCTTCCCCCACCCAGCTGCGTTCTTCCCCCACCCAGCTGCGTTCTTCCCCCACCCAGCTGCGTTCTTCCCCCACCCAGCTGCGTTCTTCCCCCAACCAGCTGCGTTCTTCCCCCACCCAGCTGCGTTCCCCCCCCACCCAGCTGCGTTCTTCCCCCACCCAGCTGCGTTCTTCCCCCACCCAGCTGCGTTCTTCCCCACCCAGCTGCGTTCTTCCCCCACCCAGCTGCGTTCCCCCCCCACCCAGCTGCGTTCTTCCCCCACCCAGCTGCGTTCTTCCCCCACCCAGCTGCGTTCTTCCCCACCCAGCTGCGTTCTTCCCCCACCCAGCTGCGTTCTTCCCCCACCCAGCTGCGTTCTTCCCCCACCCAGCTGCGTTCTTCCCCCACCCAGCTGCGTTCTTCCCCCACCCAGCTGCGTTCTTCCCCCACCCAGCTGCGTTCTCCCCCCACCCAGCTGCGTTCTTCCCCCACCCAGCTGCGTTCTTCCTCCACCCAGCTGCGTTCTTCCCCACCCAGCTGCGTTCTTCCCCCATCCAGCTCCGTTCTCCCCCCACCCAGCTCCGTTCTTCCCCCACCCAGCTGCGTTCTTCCCCCACCCAGCTGCGTTCTTCCCCCACCCAGCTGCGTTCTTCCCCCACCCAGCTGCGTTCTTCCCCCACCCAGCTGCGTTCTTCCCCCACCCAGCTGCGTTTTTCCCCCACCTAGCTGCGTTCTTCCCCCACCCAGCTGCGTTCGTCCCCCACCCAGCTGCGTTCGTCCCCCACCCAGCTGCGTTCTTCCCCACCCAGCTGCGTTCGTCCCCCACCCAGTTGCGTTCTTCCCCCACCCAGTTGCGTTCTTCCCCCACCTAGCTGCGTTCTTCCCCCACCCAGCTGCATTCTTCCCCCACCCAGCTGCGTTCTTCCCCACCCAGCTGCGTTCTTCCCCCACCCAGCTGCGTTCTTCCCCCACCCAGCTGCGTTCTTCCCCCACCCAACTGCGTTCTTCCCCCGCCTAGCTGCGTTCTTCCCCCACCCAGCTGCGTTCTTCCCCCACCCAGCTGCGTTCTTCCCCCACCCAGCTGCCTTCTTCCCCCACCCAGCTGCGTTCTTCCCCCACCCAGCTGCGTTCTTCCCCCATCTAGCTGCGTTCTTCCCCCTGTTGGAAATAGGCTGCACTTTGTGTGTTAGCCTTGAAAAGTTTTAGGGTTTAATATTTAGTAAGTTTAGCTTTTGGTTGGGTTGGGTGTAGAATTTCTCTTTCCCAACCTATCTAACCCCCCCTCCATCCAAAAGCTCATCCATCTTTGGTTTGTTGGTCGGATTGGTTGGATCCTCCTAGGATTCCCTAGGATTTCCTTTCTCCTAGTTTGTGCTACTTAAGGCCATTTATCCTATTCCCTAATCTATCAATTCAACCCTTATTGTGACACGTGCTGCCTAAAAAAAGAACTCACCCCATCCCGTCCCATCCCACCCATCCCATCCCCGCCCCTGCCCCCCCTACCCGCTCCTGCCCCAGGCGGCCTCATGTGGTTTGAGGTGTTCTACGCGCCAGTGGACGACATGGTGCTGTATGTGGCCGTGCTGCAAAAGGAAGTTAGCCTTACCCCAACCCACCCTACTCCACCCCTCCCCACTCCCCTCCTCTTCCCCAGGCGACCTCATGTGGTTTGAGATGTTCTACACACCTGTCGATGACATGGTGCTGTACGTGGCCGTGCTGCAACAATGCTCAACCCCACTTCACCCCTCCCCACCCCCCCCACCCCCTCCTCTCCCCCAGGTGGCCTCATGTGGTTTGAGATGTTCTACGCGCCAGTGGATGACATGGTGCTCTATGTGGCCGGGCTGCAGCAGCTGAGATACCGCCGCCTGCACTGGACGCTCATGTCCCACTCCACCCACCCCACCCTACTCCACTCCTGTCCCCCACCCAGGCGGCCTCATGTGGTTTGAGATGTTCTACGCGCCCGTCGATGACATGGTGCTGTATGTGGCCGTGCTGCAGCAGCTGCGCTACCGCCGCCTGCACTGGACGCTCATGCCCAAGCCCGACCGTGGGGAGATAGAGGCACACCAGCTCTACTTGAACTGCGTTATTGAGAAACCTGCTAGGCGAAATGCACTCAAACCTGTTGAATTCGTCTAAGCATGTCTTGCTGTTGTGCTTCATATAATTCGTTTCTTGTTTTTTTTTTTTCACCGGCTGGAGTTTTTTTCGCTTCCTCTGCAAACCAGACCTGACCAGAGCACTGTGAGGTCCTGACTCTTGTTGCCTCTGTGTGCATGGTGCTGCACTGATGTGTCTCACGCAGTAGCGGGAGGGAACTCTGCAGTTTTCAGGTGAGTGCTGCAGAATGTTGGGAGAGCTGCTGCTCTTGCCATGTGTTTTCCCACCCAAGTGGCTGTGTCTGTGTGTTTATTGCTTGCATGACAGGAGAGAAGGATCTGTGGTCATATTGCTCATATGCTCATAGGATCCTAGTTATTTCAACTGGGACTTGCACAAACATCGATCCGACAGGTTTCCCTACCCACATCACTCCCTGCCACCACTCCACAACCACACGCCCCTCTATGCCGCGGCCCTAATAACCCCTCCGCACTCACAACGAGTACAGCTTCATGATCCGCCGCGCCGCCTCCTCAATGTTCGCACGGCTCCCAAACGCACTCGCACGCACGAACCCCTCCCCACCGGGCCCAAACCCGCTCCCAGGCGTGGTGACAATATCAGCCTTCTCCAGAATCTCAGCAAACACGTCCCAGGAGGAGCGCCCAGGGAAGCGCACCCACACGTACGGCGCATTGTCCCCCCCGTGCGTCTCATAGCCCAGGGATTCAAATGTGGCCTTGAGAATGGCTGCATTGGCCTTGTAAAACGACACCAGCATTGCCATGGCCTCGAGGCCCTCAGGAGAGAGGCACGCAAGGCCTCCTGCCTGGGAGACGTTACTGGCGCCGTTGAAGCACGTGCAGGTGACACGGTTGAAATCCGCCCGCACCGGATGGCCGTCCGTGTAGCGCAGCGCTGCTGGGACCACGGACCAGCCGAGACGCACGCCGGTGAAGCCAGCGTACTTGGAGAAAGAGCCCGTTTCAATGGCCACCTGGAGAGGAGGGAGGGGTTGGGTGGAGAAGAGGGGGACAGTTGAAGTCCGCGCGCGCTGGATGACCGTCTGTGTAGCGCAGCGCTGCTGGGACCACGGACGAGCCCAGACGCACACCGGTGAAACCCGCGTACTTGGAGAAAGAGCCCGTTTCAATGGCCACCTGGGTATGGGGGGGGAGGGGGAAAAGGGGGGGGGGGAGGTGTCGAGGGAGCGGAGAGGGACAACGAGGAGGCATAGTGCAGCGCTGCTGGCACCACGGACCAGCCCAGACGCACCCCGGTGAAACCAGCGTATTTTGAGAAAGAACCCGTTTCAATGGCCACCTGTGGATGGGGGGGGAGGGGGAAAAGGGAGGGGGGGGAGGTGTCGAGGGAACGGAGAGGGACAACGAGGAGGCATAGTGCAGCGCTGCTGGCACCACGGACCAGCCCAGACGCACCCCGGTGAAACCAGCGTATTTTGAGAAAGAACCCGTTTCAATGGCCACCTGTGGATGGGGGATGGGGGGAGGGGTTGAGGTTGGCGATATGGAAGGGTTGAAGAAGGGGAGCAAAGAGACGTAGCGCTGGTCAAAAGTCACAACTACAGAACTAGCACTCTCAGACCATTCATGCCCGCATGGTCCCACCTCATCAGCGCCAGGGATCTCGTAAATGGACTTGGGCGAGTCATCCTCGATGTAGATGGCGTAGGCACAGTCATACACAATGATGGACCCGTTGGCACGCGCGAAGTCCACCAGCTGCTGCAGCTGCTGCCGTGACGCCGCCCGCCCTGCATGGTGCAAGGGAGGGAGGGAGGGGAGGGGAGGGGAGGGGAGGGAGGGGAGGGATGAGAGGAAGGGCGTTGAGTGGGCGTTGCTGGATAAGAGACGGGATAAGGTGGGACAGGAGGAGAGATGTGGGCTGAACGGTGGGTGGGGTTGTGGAGCTTCAAGAAATCCTGCTGTGGCTCACCGGTGGGGTTGTTGGGCGAGCAGAAGAAGATGATGTCGGTGCGCGGCGCGGAGGCGAGGTCTGGGAAGAAGTCGTTCTCGGGGGAGCAGCGCAGGTACGTCACGTTGCCAAACTGCTGCGTGTCCGGGGCGTACAGCCCCGTCTGCCCCATCATCACACTCGTGTCCACGTATGCCTGATGGGAGCCAGGGGGGTGAGTTGGGGAAATGTCAAGGAAACGTAAGTCGTTCTCGGGTGAGCAGCGCAGGTAGGTGATGCTATCGAACTGCTGTGTCTCTGGGGCGTACAGCCCCGTCTGCCCCATCATCACACTCGTGTCCACGTACGCCTGATGGGAGACAGGGCGGGGGAGTGGGAAATGTCAAGAAAGCAAAAGTGGTTCATAGGTGAGCAGCGCAGGTAGGTGAGATGTTAACGAACTGTTGCGTCTCTGGCACGTACAGCCCCGTCTGACCCATCATCACACGTATGCCTGCCATGCCATAGTCATGCCGTGTCATGATATGCCATGCCATGCCATGCCATGCCATGTCGTGTGGTGCCCCACCCACGAGCCAGAGGGATGCATGTGATTGGCAAGGATTGTCATTGCCATATTGAACAGCATGGCCAGTGAAAATAGGGAGGGCTAAGAGGGGGGATTAAGGATGGGGAGAGAGGATGGGGGAAAAGGGATGGGGGAGAGGGGATGGGGGAGCAAGCATGAGGGAGCGAGGATGGGGGAGCGAGGATGGAGGAGCGAGGATGGGGGAGCGAGGATGGGGGAGCGGGGATGGGGAGGAAGGATCGGGGAGCGGAGATGGGGGGGGAGGATGGGGGAGCGGAGATGGGGGGGGAGGATGGGGGAGCGGATATGGGGGGGGAGGATGGGGGAGCGGAGATGGGGGGGGAGGATGGGGGAGCGGAGATGGGGGGGGAGGATGGGGGAGCGAAGATGGGGGGGGAGGATGGGGGAGCGGAGATGGGGGGGGAGGATGGGGGAGCGAAGATGGGGGGGGAGGATGGGGGAGCGGAGATGGGCCATACCGGATAGGAGGGATCTTGGCAGGCCATGGTGACGTCAGCGCCAAACATCATCTGGTTGAGCGATGGGGAATGGATGGGGGAGTTGAGAAGACGGTGAGACAGTGGAAACGACCCGGTGAAGCACGTCCATACAAGAACCAGAGAAACACATACGGGGGCATGGCGGCATGAGGGATTGGCTTTGTCTCGTAAGAAATCACTGAGCATTCTCAAGCACCCACCTGCAGGCGCGCAATGTCGCACTTGGCACCGTCGGACACGAACACCTCGTCCTCCGTGATGCCCAGCTTGCACAGATGGCCGTGCTCAGGGCCTACAGTGTCAAGCACCCACCTGCAGTCTCAAGCACCCACCTGCAGGCGCGCAATGTCGCACTTGGCACCGTCGGACACGAACACCTCGTCCTCCGTGATGCCCAGCTTGCACAGATGGCCGTGCTCAGGGCCTACAGTGTCAAGCACCCACCTGCAGTCTCAAGCACCCACCTGCAGGCGCGCAATGTCGCACTTGGCACCGTCGGACACGAACACCTCGTCCTCCGTGATGCCCAGCTTGCTGTACCACGTCGCACAGATCGCCGCGCGCAGGGCCTGGTGGGGGGTGCGCGGAGTCAGTGGAGCACACGACGCCAGGGGTAGAGTGAGCATGCGCGGCATGGGGTGGTGTGGAATGGGAAGCGGTGGCAGTGCGGAAACAATGCCATCATTTCGGGATGGTGCAGAGGCACAGCTCAGTGCACTCACAACCCACTCCTCATGTGTCATTCCCCTCTTCCCTCCCCTCCCTCATCCCCCTCCCCTTCACGTATGTGCTGCCCCCAACCTCCTCTCCGCCCACGCACCTGTTCGCCCTGCTCGGCGCCATAGCCGGAGTACCCCGCTGGCGTTGACAACCCTTGCGCCCTCTGCGCGGGACAGCGGGAGATGAAGGGGGGGGCGGAGAGGGGAAGGGTGTCAGTAGGGATGGGCGACGAGTGGTTGAGAACATTCTGGCCGTTCACCTTTGCTGCTAAGTTCTTATTTGTCGCCAACGGGCTGTGCTCTCTTTGCGTACTTATACTCACTTCGTTATGAAAACTTCTCTTGCATACATCGTGCGTTGCCGGCGTATTTTCCAGCACTGTGCATATCCATCCCCGTGAGGCACATCCGCCACCACTACTCGCACTGACTCCCATCACCCTGTTACCACCCCCACCCAACAACTTCCCACTTTTCTCCACCCACGCAACGGGCTCACCTTGGCCATGGCGGCGGTGATGACGTCAGGGATGGGCTCCGTGGTGTCGCCGATGCCCAGGCTGATGATCTTCGCCTCGGGGTGCTTTTCCAGGTGCGCGCGCCGCCGCCGCGCGATCTGCGGGGAAAGAAGGCGGGGAAGACGGGTGGGGGGCGTCGCGGGGTTGGGGAGGAGTAACGTAAGAGGAATGCGGTTGCGATTAAGCTGGCCAACGAGGTGAATCGATATCGTGCATTGGTGAAACGGAAGGGTTTGGTGGGAGAGCGGGCAGCGCACCTCGGGGAAGAGGTAGCCCGCCTGTAGCTTGCCGATGTTGTGGTTGCGCTTCACGCCCGTGCGATACTCTGCGACGTCGCACACAGGTAGGGGTGCACGGCGAAAGACATCGACATTCAACAGCCGTTTTTTCACGAATGGTCAACAGCCGGGTAAGCGGGTCATTGAGGATAAGGACGAGCGGCATTCTTGTAGAAAGTCAACGGGCGTCAAGATAATCGAACTATGCGGTCGTTCGCCGTCTGCAAACGACGGATTGAAGTCAGCCTGAATGATGTGGTGTGGACTGCCTGGGTTTAGAGGTACGACCATGTGTGCTGGTGTTAAATGGTGTTGAATATTGTGAGACGGCACGTGCCTGAGTCGGAGGAGGCGCGCACGGTGGCGACATTGGACTTCGTAGACGACGATCTGGTGCGGGCAGCACTGCAGTCACGGCAGGCACGAGAGGGATGCGTGGGAGGCCAAGGGGATGCGTTGTGATCATGGCCGCATTGACAGACGATCAACTGCGTCCATATTTGACGGTCGTTATTGGGTGACCGGACTTACCTAAGAGAGGTCACTTTTAGCGGGGAGAACACATGCGAGGAGCTGCTGGCAAGGGACTCAGCAGCAGCAGCGGATCGAAGGCCAAGAGACTGGAGAGCTACTGCTCGCTCTGCTGACGTGGCAATGGACGCCATGGGAACGAGTATGGGCGACCAAGGAGGCACTACTAAGATCCGTCAGTGATGCAAAAAAGAAATGACAATGACAATTCGAAATTCTTGGACCAGGAAATATGTCCCAGCCCAGTGGAAGCATCAAGAAGGGAATCAAGGATGAGAGGCAGCGGTAGCAAGCAGCACAGCCTCTCAGTTGCCTTGGCTGCCTCGCCCTTGGGACTGCCAGAGCTGCCTTGGGAAATGCCCCGGTCCAGCTGGGCATCGAAGGGGAATGGAGGGGCTGACTGTGCAGGGATGCGTGGCGGGTGAAGAGTGGCCAGTGGTCCGGAGGCGAGAAGCGGATTCGCTGTAAGTGGCGGACGGTGCTGCAGGGAAGTGCGGAATGAAGGAATTGGCGGGAAGGTGAATGCGGTCAGTGCCGTGGATGACGCGGTTGCTGTGATTGGTGCCACGCTGGTGCATCCCGTTTACCTGATACACGCGAGATCTCGCCGCGTCAGACATTTTGATTGAGAGGAATTTGTTGTGCATCGCGATCATCATAATTATCCGCTGCAAAAACTAATGGCAAGAGAGCACGACATGTCAATAACGAATCACGCAGTGGTGCATCATGGTCCAAACTCTGGGATCTCCATAGCTGACTGGTTCCCAGCAAAAATATCTGCGGCTCATAAAAAATAGGGTTTTGTTCTCGTTGCTTTGAATCTAAGATCTCATCCCGGTAAAGCCGGCCCTAATCTCATCTCTCCGTAGATACCGTCTTGCTCAGCCAGCATGTCAGGCGGTGGTCTTGCCGGAAACGGTTCTCTCGACGATGAGCTGTGAGTATCTCGAGTTTCGCTCCTTATTCTCACCCTCCTGCGCTTTGGCACGAGTTTGACTGATTCGTTGCCTGACTGATTCAATGCTGCCTCATTCGCCGTCGCGTCTCATTTCTCGGTCGCGCTCTCTCCGGCGTCAATGAATGGCAGAGCGAGGAGCCTCGTGGTGAGGCTGCGCGGGCTGCCGTTCAGCGCGACGGAGTCGGACATTAAAGCCTTCTTCGACGGGCTCGACATCGCGCCCGACGGCATCGTCCTGCAGCTTAACTACCAAGGTGATGGCATCGCTCGTTGCGCATCAATCCGCGTGGCGTACGCCGATCCTCACTCGTCATATTCATTTGCCTTTAGCTGTTCCGTGCCGTGCAACCGTGTATCGCTTGCATCTCATGTGCCTTCCTCTCGTCCTCTCGCATTCTCCCATCCATGCGTTCTCGCCATGCGACGGCAGGTCGAGCGACTGGCCAGGCCTTCGTTCGCTTCGCGGACGCGGAGAATGCGACCAAAGCCCTCGAGCGCAACAGGTGAGAGCATTCTCTCCCCGTATGCCATTGGCGCGCTTTGCGCTTTGCACGTTGAGATCTGCACAGAGCGTTGCTGCCCCTGTCTCACACCTATAACTGTGTTGCTTCCAGGCAGCACATCGGATCGCGCTATATCGAGGTTTTCAAGGGGCATTCAGCAGACATGGAGGTGCGTGCTCGCGGTTTTCCATCTCGCATGTCTGATTTCTGTCGTGCGCGCGTTCATCTGTAGACTAGCTGCTCTCCTATACCATGTCATATCCACGGTCCCCGCGAGCGGATAGTGCGGTGCTGTGCGGTTAGCCGGGATGGCGCAATGGAATGGAGTGGTGGCGTGGTGGCATGGCCTCGTGTGGATTGCGTTGCATGCGCCGTGGAATGCAGGGGGCCTTGCGGATGGCGGGCAGGGGCGGTGCTGCTGGTGCTGGTCCGGGGGCGGGGGCGCCTAATATGGGCATGGCGGGCATGGGCGGCAATATGGCGGCGGCAACATCTGGGCTGCTTGCGGGTGGTGCTGCGGGGGCTGGGGTGCCAGGAATGGCGGGCAACACGGACATGCGCTACAGCGGCGTCATCCGCATGCGCGGCATGCCCTATAGGTGCGCGCTCTGCCCTCCCCTTGCCCCACGTGCCATGCATGCTCTATCATCAATGTGCGCCCTTGCGCTACTGCCATGCGTTTCCTCCAGGTTCGTGCTGCGCACCACGCGTCCCGTCTGCGTTGTCTCTCCCTCTTCCGTTCCCAGCTTCCTGCACCCCAATCTTTTCCGCGCTCTCCTTGCCCCTCCCTCCCCGCGCTCCCCGCTCACCGCTCTGGCCCCGCTCTCCCGTACGCGGTGTGTGCGTGCGCGCAGCGCGACGTCGGCGGACATAGCGGCGTTCTTCAAGGGCATGCAGGTGGCGCACGACGGCATCTTCCTCTGCTCGCACCCCGACGGCCGCGCCACCGGCGAGGTGACCACCCCCGCCGCCTTGCACTGCACGCCCTTGCACTCAGATGGGTTCATAACAGTTCATGTCGGTTTATGTCAGTTCATATAGACTAGTGTTGGGTCATTTCGTTCATTTCCGGGCAGCAAAGCTTCTTTATCAGCGCGTCTGCCCGTGCTTCTCTCACACTCCTCCTTTCTTGCTTGCATGTCATGCGTGACGTGCATGTGTGGCGTGCATGTGTGGCGTGCATGTGTGGCGTGCATGTGTGGCGTGCATGCGTGGCGTGCATGCGTGGCGTGCATGTGTGGCGTGCATGCGTGGCGTGCATGTGTGGCGTGCATGTGTGGCGTGCATGCGTGGCGTGCATGTGTGGCGTGCATGTGTGGCGTGCGTGGGAGTCCTGTGTGGGCGGGCGGGCAGGCGTTTGTGGAGTTTGCGAACGAGGAGACGGCGGCGAGGGCGCTGCAGCTGCACCGGGAACCAATGGGCCATGTGCGCTCACACTCCCCCCCACTCCCTTGCTCCCCCCCGCTCGCTTGCTTCCTTTCTTCTCACGCGCGTCTTGCCTGCTTGCGTTTCCCGCATGCCATTCAACGCCCGCTCCTCGCTCTCTCGCCCCTTCTCGTCTGCCTTCCTGCCTTTGCTCCTCCGCCTCTGCCGCTCACCCCTCACCTCTTCCCCCATCTCCTCACTCTCCGCGCCCCCTCCACTCCCCGTGCGCCCCTTCCCCCGGCCTGTGCGCGCGGCAGCGGTACGTGGAGCTGTTCCGGAGCACCAAGGGGGAGATGATGGCGGCGGTGCAGCAGCGCATGTACTCCACGTTCCCGCCCGTCCCCGCCTTCATGGGCCCCGTGCGTCCCCTTGCCCCAAGCCCCCTTGCGCACTTGCCACCTTGCTCTTGCCCCCCTTGCACACACAACATGGCCCTCTTGCCCATCGCCCTTTGTGCGCATGCCCCCTTGTCACTTCAATCGCCATTGCCTACCAGGCAGGCTCAGGCACTTTTGTCCCACTCTCATGCCCCCTTTGCTTGTTTCAGCGCCACTCCCCGCCCATTTTCCCTTGCTTGTCGATGCCACTCCCCGCCCCTTCCCCGTTGCCATACCTGATTATCCTGCTCGCACTTCCACCTGCCACTCCGCTTCCCCATCCCTCCCTCCTCCCTCCCTTCTCCACCCCCTGTGTGGGCGGGTCTACGGGCAGATGCCTGGTATGATGGGCTTCGGAATGCCAAGCCTGGGCGCAGCCAATCTCGCCGCCATGCACATGGGCGCGGGCGGAATGGGGGGCGCGGGCGGAATGGGCGCAGGGGGGATGGGGGGCGGAGGCATGGGGGGGGCAGGAGGCCCGGGGGGCGGGATGGGCGCAGCGCAGGCAGCAGCAGCGGCGTCAGAGAACGTATGCATAAAGATGCGCGGGCTACCGTTCAGTGCAGGGCAGGAGGACATTCTGGCGTTTTTCGAGGGGTATGAATTGGTGGGGAACGGTGTGCACATCATGACGGGGCACAACGACCGGCCCACGGGAGAGGCGTTTGTGGAGTTTGCCTCGTCGGAGGAGGCGGGGAGGGCCATGGAGCGCCACCGGCAGCACATGGGGAATCGTTATATCGAGCTGTTCCGTGTCTCCAAGAGGTAGGTTTGGGGGGAGGGAGAGGTTGTGTTGGGGAGGGGATAGGATGTGAGGCGCCTCAAATGGCTGCATCGGCGGAGTAGGCGGGGAGGGCTATGGAGCGCCACCAACAACACATGGGAAATCGTTATATCGAGCTGTTCCGTGTCTCCAAGAGGTGGGTTGTGGGGGGTGAAGAGGTTGGGTTGGTTGGGGAGAGGTTGGGATGTGAGGCGGCCCATTTGGCTGCATTGCCGGAGGAGGCGGGGCGGGCTATGGAGCGCCACCAACAACACATGGGAAATCGTTATATCGAGCTGTTCCGTGTCTCCAAGACGTGGGTTGTGGGGGGTGAAGAGGTTGGGTTGGTTGGGGAGAGGTTGGGATGTGAGGCGGCCCATTTGGCTGCATTGCCGGAGGAGGGGGGGCGGGCTATGGAGCGCCACCAACAACACATGGGAAATCGTTATATCGAGCTGTTCCGTGTCTCCAAGAGGTGGGTTATGGGGGGTGAAGAGGTTGGGTTGGTTGGGGAGAGGTTGGGATGTGAGGCGGCCCATTTGGCTGCATTGCCGGAGGAGGCGGGGCGGGCTATGGAGCGCCACCGGGCTATGGGCATCCGATACATCGAGCTGTTCCGTGTCTCCAAGAGGTCCGGTGAGGGAAAGGAGAGAAGGGGTTGTGTTGGTGGGGCGGGGTTGCTTCTAGGGATTGGGCTCTGCGTTGTGTGGGTGCTTGTTGCTTGTGAGCACACGTGATACGGACCAGCCGTTTGGGTTTTTTGTTCCTGTTATGTGGACCTGGTGAGTCTGCTGGCATCACCTCCTGGGGCAATCGCTGTGCCTCATCTGCCTCATGTGCCTCCTGTGTCCCTTGTTCTGCCTTGTGGTGGTGCTGGGTGTGGCGAGCAGTGAGGCGCTGGTGGCGGTGCAAGGGGGGTCGTTGGCGGGGTTCAACATGGCGGGTGCATTGGACCCCAACATGCAGCTGCTGCTGCTGCAACAACAGGTCAGCACCGCCCTTCCACACCATCATCCCGTCCACCCCATCCTCTCCACCCCATCCCTCCACCCCATGAGTGACAGCAGCAGCTGGTGCTGCTGGTTCTGCTGCTGCAGCAGCAACACAATGTCAGGGCTACACACCTGCATCAACACATGCTCTGTGCTCTGTGCTCGTGACAAGCGCCCCTTGCGTCTCTTTGCCCTGGTGCCAGCACCTTTCATTCCGTGTGCGCCTTTGTGCTTGCACGCACCCCTTCACCCTCCTTTCCCCCCTTCCCCCCTTCCCCAACCCATCTTCCTGTCCACAGCAATTGCAGGCAGCAGCAGCAGCAGGGTCGTTTGGCATGGGGGGATGGGGGGGCGGCATGGGCATGGGAGGGGGGGGCGGAGACTTCTATGGGCGCCAGGGAGGGGGAGGAGGGGGCCAGGGCTATGACCCCTCTCAGCAGGTATATTTATTACCCCCTCTGCCTGCTCTACAAACTTCCACACGCTCTGCCTTGACTGCAGTTCATCCTCTCTATCCCTGTATCTTCAGTTACCTCTCTCCCCTGCGCCGCACACTGAGTAGTCGCTCATTCTTCTCTGTCTGTGCTGTGCTCCTGTGCATTCCACTCTTGTTTTGTCTCTCTGCTTCCTGTGAGCAGAACTAGGAGGAGATTCGCACACCTTTGACTGTGCCTCCTGCGCAGTCTGATACCTCCGTGTTCGCCCCATATGTCGGCCCATATATGAATTGAAAAGCTTATCCTTTCATGGCTCGGCTATTTTGTATCGAGCAGGCAGCTCAAGATGGCTCCACTGCTCCGCACTATCCCAAAATATATAGCTAATGCAAATGTGAAGTCACAGCAACCCATTTATGAGGCAAGCTCCAACCGAACCATGTCCTTCATCTGCTATGAAGATCTTCATTAGCATCCCTCCCCAACACAGTGCACCAGGAATGCATGATGCAGAGTCCAGAGCCACATCCTCCCATCTGCTTCCAGGCGTTTTTGCGAACCTCCATTAGCAGTCCGCACCAACATAGTGCAGCAGGAAGGCATGCTCCAGAGCCACATCCTCCAGTTGCTCCCTGCCGCTGCAGGGTGTCATGTGGCTCCCCTTACTCTCACAGTAATCACTCTCCATCACCAACATAGTGCAGCAGGAAGGCATGCTCCAAAGCCACGTCCTCCAGTTGCTCCCTGCCGCTGCACGGTGGCCCCACTCAACCAACACACACCACCAGCGGCCGCTTCTTCTCACAGTGTTTGCTCTCCCCCCCCAACGTGGTGCAGCAGGAAGGCATGCTCCAAAGCCACATCTTCCATCTGCTCCCTGCCACTGCATGGTGCCACGTGCCCTCTGTCCCCCCACACGCGCACCAGTACAGGCCGCTCCCTCTCACAGTAGTCGCTCTCTGCTCTCACCTTGGCTGCCCACTTTAATGCCTCCCATGGGCCCACTCTGAGGGAAAAGGCAGGGGCAGAGGAGGGACAGGGGAGTGGGCAGGGTTGGAGAAGCATAGTGCATGTGAAACCAGCACAGGCGCAGGGTACTTGACCCCCAACTGCAAGTTCAGCATGAGGCAGAGCACTCACGGTTCAAAATTTTGTGGCAGAGAGTATTTTCACCTGGAGTTGTGGCAGAGAGCAGGGCGACAGGGTGCTTGACCCCTTGTTGCACGTTGAGCACGGGGCACAGCGGCTCACAGTGCACGGAATACAAGCCTAATATGACTCAGACGATCAACTTGGAGTGGTGCAGAGGAGCAGAGAGCAGGGCGACAGGGTGCTTGACCCCTTGTTGCATGTTCAGCGCAGGGCACAGCCTCTCAGTGCACGGAATACAAGTCTAATATGACTCAGACGATTGACCTGGAGTCATGAAGAGCAGCAGACAGCAGCGCAGCAGGGTACTTGACCCCTGGTTGCACGTTGAGCACGGGGCAGAGAGCTCTCAGGGCATGGAAGGGGGGGCCAGACAGACAACTCACCTTGAGTCGTGGAGAGCGGCAGACAGCAGGGCAGCAGGGTACTTGACCCGTTGCTGCACGTTCAGCACGGGGCAGAGAACTGTCAGGGCACGGAAGGAGGAGGCCAGACAGACAACTCACCTGGAGTCATGAAGAGCAGCAGACAGCAGGGCAGCAGGGTACTTGACCCCTTGCTGTACGTTCAGCACAGGGCAGAGCGCTCTCAGGGCATGGAAGGCCAAGATGAGTTCATAAAGCGCACCTGGAGTCGTGGAGAGCAGCAGAGAGCAGGGCAGCAGGGTACTTGACCCCTGGTTGCACGTTCAGCACGGGGCAGAGAGCTCTCAGGGCATGGAAGGCGGAGGGGCAGGCGAGGGGGTCGCCCCACTCATGGCGGTCCAGTGCTGTGAGCGGCAGAGCGGGGTTGCTCATGGAGGTGAGGGCGTCCAGGAATGGCACCTGGACGAAGGTGGGGACGGGGGAAGAGGAGGTGAGGGTGCATAGGGAAGAGGGTCGCCCCACTCGTGGCGGTCTAGCGCTGTGAGCGGCAGGGCAGGGTTGCTCATTGAGGTGAGGGCGTCCAGGAATGGCACCTGGACGAGGGGTGGGGAGGGGGTGGGGAGGGGGTGGGCTGCATAGGGAAGAGGGTGGCTTCACTCGTGGCAGTCCAGAGCTGTGAGCGGCAGGGCGGGTTGCTCAAGGAGGTGAGGGCGTCGAGAAATGGCACCTGTGGCCGGGAGAGGGTGCGAGAGGAGGTGCGGGTTGGTGAGCGACAGCCTAGTGAGAGGTGGGGAGAGTGAGTGAGCGGCAGCACATGGATGGAAGAAAATCACGGATGGAACGAGGGGTGGGGGCAAAGCTAGGGCAGGAGGTACATAGTGCATGGTGGTGCGGGCGGGGTGAAACCAGAGAGGATAACAGGAAGATCAAATCAGATTAATAAAATCACACGAGTATATGTATATGTTGTTTCCAAGGTAGATGTGACCTTGGACCGACACGCTTCCGCTGCAGTCACACTCACATCCAGCACGATCGCTCGGAAGAGACCAGGATCAGTATTCACAGCAGCATCAACCAGAAACCCTCCTGCACTGCTCCCCCTCGCCCGCCCCTCGCCCCTCCCTGCCCACCCCTCCCCAATCAAATACTCAGCACACGCCCTCAAATCCCCCACCGCCCGCCCCTTCCTCTCCCCCCGCCCCGCCTCGTGCCATGCTCGCCCCAGCTCGCCCCCTCCTCTGGTGTGCGCTAGGGCAAGGACCCACCCGCGGTGCAGCAGAGGCAGGCGGTGGGGCACCCACTCGGCTGCCGTCACCTCCCCATACGCGCCGTACCCCTCTAGTAGCGCCGGGCCCTGGCTGTCTCTGTGCCTGCTGGTGTGGTGGATGAGGGTGAGCGGTATGGGTGGGCCATTGGGGGATGGTACCCAGAGGCGTTGACAGATGAGCCCGGGCACGCGGGAGAGGGGCAGGGGAGGGCTGGGGGGGTGGAGAGGTGGGGTTGATGGGGAGTGATTGCATGGGTGTGACTGCTGCTGCTGCTGCTGCTGCTGCTGCTGCTGCTGCTGCTGCTGCTGCTGCTGCTGCTGCTGCTGCTGCTGCTGCTGCTGCTGCTGCTGCTGCTGCTGCTGCTGCTGCTGCTGCTGCTGCTGCTGCTGCTGCTGCTGCTGCTGCCTGCTGCTGCTGCTGCTGCTGCTGCTGCTGCTGCTTGCTGCTGCTGCTGCTGCTGCTGCTGCTGCTGCTGCTGCTGCTGCTGCTGCTGCTGCTGCTGCTGCTGCTGCTGCTGCTGCTGCTGCTGCTGCTGCTGCTGCTGCTGCTGCTGCTGCTGCTGCTGCTGCTGCTGCTGCTGCTGCTGCTGCTGCTGCTGCTGCTGCTGCTGCTGCTGCTGCTGCTGCTGCTGCTGCTGCTGCTGCTGCTGCTGCTGCTGCTGCTGCTGCTGCTGCTGCTGCTGCTGCTGCTGCTGCTGCTGCTGCTGCTGCTGCTGCTGCTGCTGCTGCTGCTGCTGCTGCTGCTGCTGCTGCTGCTGCTGCTGCTGCTGCTGCTGCTGCTGCTGCTGCTGCTGCTGCTGCTGCTGCTGCTGCTGCTGCTGCTGCTGCTGCTGCTGCTGCTGCTGCTGCTGCTGCTGCTGGAGGAGGGGTTGGTGGCGGCAGTACGGCTCTTGGTGCAACACTGAGAGGGTGCCAGAGAGCATGTGCACCTCGCACCCGGCCTCAGGCATCTTGTGGCGCAAGTGAGTAAGAGGAAGGGAGGGTAGGGGGTGTGCGGAACGAATAGGGGGGTAGGAAAGACAGGGACGGAGAGGGAGGGGTGAGAGAGGAGGCTGGAGTGGCTGTGGTCATGGGAGAGGAAGAGAGAAGGGTTTAAAGGAGGGCTGGGGTGAGGAGCAAGAGTAGGCGTGGAGGAGGGAAGGAAGGAGAGACGAGTGGAAGGCTGTGGTAGTCGAGATGGTGGCATGATGGCATGGTGGCATGATGGCATGATGGCATGATAGCAGTGAGCACGCACAACAGGGAGCGACACCATGATGCGGAGAGAGGATGCATCAAAGTCCTGGTTGCCCCCTGCCACCACATGGCACACCCTCTCTGGCAGCGGTACTGCCCTCGCCCACACCTCCCTTCCCTCCTCCCCTCCACCTCTCGTGTTTTGAGTCGACTCAAAGCATCAACGTCCTGGTTACCCCCCGCCACCACATGGCACACCCTCTCTGGCAGCTGCACTGCGTTTGAGTCGACTCAAAAGCATGGCAACAGTGATCACTCACAACAGGGGACGACACCATGATGCGGAGAGTGGTAGCATGGTAGTCCTGGTTGCCCCCTGCCACCACATGGCACACGCTCTCCGGCAGCTGCACTGCCCTCGCCCACACCTCCACTTCCCTCCTCCCCTCCTCCTCTCCTCTCCACCCCTTCCCTCCCACACCACCCTCCTCTCTTCCCACTCCGCCCTCTGGTGAGAGGGGAAGGGGCAGCAGCAGCAGGTGCGGCAGGGAGTGCACGAGACAGTGCACGGCGAGGCAGTGTCGGAACACCTCTATGTCTGATATGACAATGTCTGATGGCCGGATGTCCCACCCTTTCACTCTGATCGCCAGGCTCTGGTGGGTTGAGGGGATGAGCAAATGAGGGCAGCAGTGCACAGGCAGGGGGAGGAAGGAGTGAGTGTGAGTGGAGAGAGAGGGAGAAAGGGGGCGACTCAAGAATGTGAGGTTCTCAGACGTCTCAACTGAAAACAGATGTATTGTCAAGAGGGAGACGGAGCGACTCTAAGGATGTGAAAAAGGAAGAGAAGGGCGATCAGAAAAGCAAAGATGCACACAATGCCACTCATGCGCCCGATGCACTGCACGCGCACTGCCATCCATATGCTCACTGTTCACCTGCCAGCTGTCAGCACGGTGGGCGGAATCAACTGGAGCCCTCACAATACGATACTCCCCCACCCTCCCCTCCTCCCCCCCACCTCCACCGCTATCACTGCCTATCTCCACACGCACTTCTCACCTGCCAGCTGTCAGCTCGGTGCGCTGACTCAACTGGAGCCCTCACAATGCGGTACTCCCCCACCCTCCCCTCCTCCCCTCCACGTCCTTCCCCACTGCCTCCCCCCACCTCCCCCCGCTGCCCCCTCCCTCCACCCTCCCTTTCCCTCACAATGCGGTACTCCCCCACCCTCCCCTCCTCCCCCCCAACGCCACTGCTATCACTCCCTACCCCCATCACCCCTTGCCTCTCCCTCCCTCCATCCTCCTCCTTCCTATCCCTCTCGCCCTCCCCTTTCCTATCCGCTCTCCCCCTCTCTCCGTTTCCCCCCTCGCCCTGCATGCAGCGGTTGGTGACAGCATAGAGCCACCCGTCATGGTGCTCCACAAACCACTGCTCGCCCTCCCGCCGCCGCTGCAGCAGCCAAGGGGGTGCTGTGGGGTGGTGCGCGTCTAACAGATGGACCTGAGGGGAGGGAGGGAGAGGGAAAGAGGGGAGGAGGAGGAGTGTAGGGAGGAAAGAGGGGCGCAAGTGAGAAGGGGCGTACAGGGTGACGGGTGCAGGTTAATGGACTGCGCATACAAGCACTCCCTGTGCATGTGTATATGTGCATGCGTGTGGGTGCATGAGACTGTGCATGGCATGTGTGTATGTCGATATGTGCAAGTACATGTGCGCATATGCATGTGCATGTGCATCCAAGTGCGCACCTGTGAAGAGATGCGGGTGTTGAGGTTGAGAGTGAGGTATCGCCAGTCCTTGGTGCGAGACACAGCCACCACCACCCCCTCCTCCTCACTCCGCAATACCTCCTCCTCCCCTCCCTCCGCGCCCTCCTCGCCCTCCTCCCCCCCCACCAGCATCCCTGCCTCCCCTTCCTGTGGAATGTGGACGCGCCTCCTCATCACCCTGTGCTGCACATGTCATGGCATGAACACCATGCTAAAAAACGCCACAGCACGATATGGAATGGCATCAGACATCCACACATGCTACATCCCAGAGCGCAACACCTGCTTTTGAGATGTCTAAACACTCGTTCCAGCGCTCACCGGTGCGACCGCAGTTGGTCATCCAGCTGGGTGTCGAGAACGTGCTGTGAGTGAGTCAGCCGCCCACTTTACTGTCGCCACTGCTGGGATGGGGTGGCACTACAGCACGTGCTGCGAGTCTGCCGCCTCTCTATGCATCTGCCCTCTCTCCCCCTCACCAATTCCACTCACTGGTGGGATCGGAGATTGTCATCCAGCTTCGTGTACAGCACGTGCTGCGAGTCTGCCGCCCACTCCACTGTCGCCACCGCAGGGATGGGCGCGCACAGCAGGCGTGAGGTGAAAGGCAGAGAGCGGGGGTGTGAGGGGAAGGGCAAGGAGTGGGGAGGTGGCGGGGAGGAGGGGAGGTGGAGGAGGAAGAGGGTGGGGGACTCGGAGGGCGAGAGGTCGAGGAGCAGTGCGAGCAGGGCGTGGCAGCGACTCACCTTGCACTCCACTAGCCTCACGTACCCTGGTGCAAAGCGGTGGGATGGGATGGGATGTGGCGCAGTGGGGTGAGGTGGGGAGGATTGGAGGGAATAGATGGGCCTGAGTAACGATGGTGTCACACCGATTGAGGCAGAGATGTGGGAGAAGCATGTGAAGGCTGGGGCTATTGGAGCAGGGAGAGTGCGCGGAATGGGGGCACACAAGCAAGGGTGGGTGGAGCACAAGCAGGCAGTAGCAGGGGGTGCAGTGAAGGCCACGAGGCATCACCATAATAGTCCGCCAGCTCGTTTAAATCCGCCAACACCTGCTCCCCTCGCTCCTCCACCCCTCGCTCCTCTGCCCTTTGCTCCCCCGCCACCCCTTGCCGCCCCATTTCCTCCCCCATTCGCTCCGCCCTTCTCTCACCCCTCCCTCCCTGCCACCCTCCCCCATCTCTCTCTGCTGTATGCTCCCCCTCCCCCATGTGCATGGCAGCGGGTGTGCGGAATAACACCGGCAGCTCCTGGCCGTCTGGCACCCGTGCTCCGTACAGCCTGGCGGGGTGGGGAGAGGGGGGAGAGGGTGGCGGCTTCTGACTTTTGAGTCGACTCAAAAGTCACCTCGCATGGCAGCGGGTGAGCGGAAGAGCACCGGCAGCTCCTGGCCGTCTGGCACCCGTGCTCCGTACAGCCTGGTGGGGTGGGGAGAGGGGGGGGGTGGGTGGGGTTAGAGGAGAAGCAACGACCTGTGCAATGTGGTGGTGGGGAGGGGGGCACAGGGGTTGTAAGGAGTGAAAAAGGGTTCGGATGATAGGCATGGGTGGCGCAGGGGAATTAGACTAGTGAACAAGCACCCACGCATGCACCCACGCATCCACCATCCCTCACATGCACCCACCAGGGGCCACACGGCTCAGGAGGCGCGTGGGAGGGCGGCGGCATGCTCCCCTCCATCTCCCCCACCACCTCGCGCTGCCACTCCCCCATCGTCCCCCATTCCCCTCCCCTCCTCCCACCCACCAAAGGCCACATGCCTCACACCCACTCACCAGGGGCCACATGCCTCACACCCACTCACCAGGGGCCACATGCCTCACACCCACTCACCAGGGGCCACATGCCTCACACCCACTCACCAGGGGCCACATGCCTCACGCCCACTCACCAGGGGCCACATGCCTCACACCCACTCACCAGGGCCCACATGCCTCACACCCACTCACCAGGGGCCACATGCCTCACACCCACTCACCAGGGGCCACATGCCTCACACCCACTCACCAGGGGCCACATGCCTCACACCCACTCACCAGGGCCCACATGCCTCACACCCACTCACCAGGGGCCACATGCCTCACACCCACTCACCAGGGGCCACATGCCTCACACCCACTCACCAGGGCCCACATGCCTCACACCCACTCACCAGGGGCCACATGCCTCACACCCACTCACCAGGGCCCACATGCCTCACACCCACTCACCAGGGGCCACATGCCTCACACCCACTCACCAGGGGCCACATGCCTCACACCCACTCACCAGGGGCCACATGCCTCACACCCACTCACCAGGGCCCACATGCCTCACACCCACTCACCAGGGGCCACATGCCTCACACCCACTCACCAGGGGCCACATGCCTCACACCCACTCACCAGGGGCCACATGCCTCACACCCACTCACCAGGGGCCACATGCCTCACACCCACTCACCAGGGCCCACATGCCTCACACCCACTCACCAGGGCCACATGCCTCACACCCACTCACCAGGGGCCACATGCCTCACACCCACTCACCAGGGGCCACATGCCTCACACCCACTCACCAGGGCCCACATGCCTCACACCCACTCACCAGGGGCCACATGCCTCACACCCACTCACCAGGGCCCACATGCCTCACACCCACTCACCAGGGGCCACATGCCTCACACCCACTCACCAGGGGCCACATGCCTCACACCCACTCACCAGGGGCCACATGCCTCACACCCACTCACCAGGGGCCACATGCCTCACACCCACTCACCAGGGCCCACATGCCTCACACCCACTCACCAGGGGCCACATGCCTCACACCCACTCACCAGGGGCCACATGCCTCACACCCACTCACCAGGGCCCACATGCCTCACACCCACTCACCAGGGGCCACATGCCTCACACCCACTCACCAGGGCCCACATGCCTCACACCCACTCACCAGGGGCCACATGCCTCACACCCACTCACCAGGGGCCACATGCCTCACACCCACTCACCAGGGCCCACATGCCTCACACCCACTCACCAGGGGCCACATGCCTCACACCCACTCACCAGGGCCCACATGCCTCACACCCACTCACCAGGGGCCACATGCCTCACACCCACTCACCAGGGGCCACATGCCTCACACCCACTCACCAGGGGCCACATGCCTCACACCCACTCACCAGGGCCCACATGCCTCACACCCACTCACCAGGGGCCACATGCCTCACACCCACTCACCAGGGGCCACATGCCTCACACCCACTCACCAGGGCCCACATGCCTCACACCCACTCACCAGGGGCCACATGCCTCACACCCACTCACCAGGGGCCACATGCCTCACACCCACTCACCAGGGCCCACATGCCTCACACCCACTCACCAGGGGCCACATGCCTCACACCCACTCACCAGGGCCCACATGCCTCACACCCACTCACCAGGGGCCACATGCCTCACACCCACTCACCAGGGGCCACATGCCTCACACCCACTCACCAGGGGCCACATGCCTCACACCCACTCACCAGGGGCCACATGCCTCACACCCACTCACCAGGGCCCACATGCCTCACACCCACTCACCAGGGGCCACATGCCTCACACCCACTCACCAGGGGCCACATGCCTCACACCCACTCACCAGGGGCCACATGCCTCACACCCACTCACCAGGGCCCACATGCCTCACACCCACTCACCAGGGGCCACATGCCTCACACCCACTCACCAGGGCCCACATGCCTCGGGAGGCGCATGGGAGGGCGGCGGCATGCTCTCTTCCATCTCCGCCACCACCTCTCGCTGCCACTCTCCCATCGTCCGCCCCCCACGCGCTCTGGTGCGCATGAGGGCGTGCAGATACGCGCGCTCGCGCTGCAGGTGGTGGCGCATGCGGGGGGAGTCCAGCTCGTGCATCCAGCTGACACGAAGGGCGGAGGCAGAGGGGGGCACGGGGAGGGGGGCATAGAGGCGTGGGGTTGCGCCATGAGGGCGTGCAGATACGCGCGCTCGCGCTGCAGGTGGTGGCGCATGCGGGGAGAGTCCAGCTCGTGCATCCAACTGATGCATGGGGGCCCCGTGGGGGGCATGGGGGCCATGGGGTGGCATGGGGTGCCATGGGGGGCATGGGGTGCCATGGGGAGCCATGGGGGGCATGGGGTGCCATGGGGTGCCATGGGGGGCATGGGGTGCCATGGGGTGCCATGGGGGGGCCATGGGGTGGCATGGGGTGGCATGGGGTGGCATGAGGTGGCATGGGGGGGCATGTGGTGGCATGTGGTGGCACGGGGTGGCATGGGGGGGCATGGGTGGTATGTGGTGACAGGGACTTGAGTTCTTAAACCCTCTCAGAGCTTCAGGGCAACGCGTGATAGGTCGCGTCTCTTGAGATCTCCCAGGAAAACGACCCAATGCGAAGAGCAGTGCGCGCACCTGTACCAGTCGACCCAGCTCTCCCCGTGCAGCTCCATCGTCGCCCTCTCCCTCCTCGCCTCGGGCGCGCTAACGCTGCGCGCGCCGCGCTCTTTCCCCCGCTCACCCCATCCCAACCACCGCGGTATCTGCAATCCGCGCCTCCCCCCACCCGCATTCCCCCCCTCCCTGCCCACCGTTCCCCTCTCCCCGCACGCCGACCCCCCTCCCCCGACTATCACCCCCCACGGCTCCCTAAGCGGATGCGTTGTTTCCGCGCCCCAATCCCCCAAGTTTCCGCTCCGCCAACACCTGCCAAGCGCCTCCGCCGAGATGCCCTCCTTCCGCGTGAGAAGGCGAAAGCGCGGCGGAAAATCGCGCCCCATGCGCGCATCAGCGGCGGAGCCTCCCCCCTCCCGCGGCAGCATTCCCCTCGGGAAATCCGCATGGGGCAGCCTGGGGAGGAGGCGCAAGAATCTCCTCCCATGCATGGTCGCGCGCAGCACTAGGCGCACTGTTGGCGGGACGCGCGGTTCATACGGCAGCAGGGGGAGTTTGCTCTGTGTGCGCGAAACAGAAGGTGATGGAGGGGAGAGCCGAATGCATGATTCGCTATTGAGTTGATCGTGGGCGATAGCTAATTGTGTATTTTGTTTTGGGAAAAAAATACAAATTTTGCTTTTTACTGGGAGATGAAGTTATATTGGTTTGCAGCGAACTAAAAGGTTGAGCCCGACAAGTTCTCTCAACGATGTGCATATATCGCGTACAGGGCCCAATTCGAGCGGGAAATGATCAAAGAGGGGCCGTACAGTGCCAGAGAGGTGACCAACCAGGGGCCGAGAGGCCCGGAACTGACCAAACCGCTGCGCAAGGGGGGATTAACAGAGAGGTTCGTCACGGCTTGCATTTTCGCTCACACCTCAATATTCCTTGGGATCTCGTAAATGATTCGTTTTTTCCACCTGGTAGCGTCGTTTCGCGAGCCAGGTAGCGCTACCGGCGGTACCGACGCAACAGGGAAATGTTAGGGCAGCCTAAAAAAACTAATATCAATAGGGAACCTGGACTCATTTTTGGGATGGATCAACCCTAAACACGGGAACCCGCCTGATGTTTCGGGTTGATGCCTCCCGAGTCGCATCCGTTTCCGAACGGGTTTTAATATTTACATCAGCTAAAGTGATGTATTTTTTTCGGAAAACGATTACGCATTTCATTTCTCAAAAATATAAATATGACGAAACCCACTTCCAGAGGAATGCGACGCAAGCTTCGTACTTGGCGGCGATCAAAACCTATGAAAACAACATTGAACCAAGTAAGTCGAGCTTAGTAATTTCCTTTAAATCTTGGTTCGAATTCTCGGCCCAACCACTTGGGCAGCCCCGGGGGTATATCCAACGGTTGGGATCAACCCGGCCCTAATTTTGTCACCTCCCTGCTATTGTTCGGCCCCTATTTGATCTTTTCCCAATTCGAGCTGTGTGAATGGTAGGTGGTTGCACTCTCTCTCACTTGCAGATCGAGTTGCACGTCAGCATACACTCCATCGTTCGTCATCACATGCCCCATTCCACGTCAGCTCACGATGATCCGTGCGTCAGCAGCACATCCCCCAGAGCGGGGAGCAGCACCGTTCCCCACCACCAAACCAAACACAATGGACGGAACTTGAGCAACGGCATTCCAGCTTCCAAGACTTGGCTGCATATGAGTGCAGAAAGGTTACTACCAGTCCGCTCCGCCGCACGCATTCTGCCACCAGAACATCGCCATACGACGCTGCATAGCGATGGAAGGAACCGTTCGGTCCGGTTCGGATTTCGATATAGTTTTGTTCGTTAGAGGCGTGCGGGCGGAGTGGGAGAGCGGTAATGTGGCGCGCCAGTGGCGGGAGAATCTTTCGCGCCACGTGGACGGCCTCCAGCGCCGCCTCCCGCAATTCCCGCTGCCGAGCATTGCGCGCCAAGCGCGCGCAGATCCCGCTTCCGCAAATGGCGCGGAACGCCCGCCGGGACTCAAGGATGTGGGGGTGCGCGCGACGGGGAACGCGCGTTCAGGCGGAGCGCAAGGGGGAGGAGCGGAGGGAAATGACTCGCGGGGGGACGAGGACGGCGCGGAAACTCGGAGAAACACCACGGGTGCGCCTACTGGCACCATTGCGCAGGCGGGGCAAGCGCGGAGCAGCAAGGCCGGGGGGGCGAGCGCGCGGAAGTGGGGGCGCGAGACGGTGAAGCAGCGCATGGAGCGGTGGCGCCGCGAGCGGGAGATGATGATGATGCGCGCGGCGGAGGAGGAGAGGCGGAAGGAGGAGGGGGAGGGGGAAGGGGAAGGGGGAGGCGGAAGTGGCGGTGGAGGAGCTGTATGTGGCGCGCAGCAGACACTACACTCCCAACGTGCTCACCTTCGGGTATGTCTCACCCCGTACCCCCTACCCCATGTCCCCAAGTCGTGAGCAGCAGGCACTACACGCCCAATGCACCCCCAATGCCGCCATTTTGCCCGCCCGAGGTCCCCATTCTGCCCCCAAAGGGACCCACTTTGCCCAACCAATGCCCGTTCGTCTCCCCCAAAGTGCTCCCACTCTCCCCTTGTCCCAGTCTACCCCCCCACTGTCCCCCACGCTTCACCCCTCTCCCACACCACCACTCCCCACTGCTCCTCCTCTCTTCTACACCACTTGCCCCCATTTGCCACCCATTGCCCCTATGCCCCCCAATCTCTCTCCCACGCGATAGATGGAGTATTGGGTGCTGCTCTCTGCGGGCGCTGCTCCCCATTACCCCTATACCCCTGCCTGTTCTGGGACATTTCGTAGCCCTCCACACACTGCCCCCCACCCCGCTTCTTCCCCCCTCCCCCTTATTGCCCATCCACTGCCTGGTGCAGGTATTCATTCAAGGAATGGACGGAGTACTGGGCGCTGCTCTCCACAGGCGAGCTCTACCTCGGCCTGCCCCACGGGGACCCGCGCCACTTCGACTTCCACCACGACCGCCGCACCAACCCGCACCGCTTTGTACCGCTCTCGCACTCCCACGGCCCGGCGCACGAGTTTGACTACGGCGGGTGCCAGGTGGCGCTGGCGCCAGGTCAGCAGGAGGTGCGGGTGGGCGGCGGCGATGTGGTGTTTAAGAGGGTCCAGCCGTGCGAGGCGGAGGAGGGGTGTCGGTTGGAAGGGAGGTTCGTTCACGCCGCGGCTCGGGACTTTGTGGATGCAGCAGAAGCTTCGGGGGTGCATGGTGGGACGACTGTGACTTTCCGAGGAGACGGGACGTTCAGCGTGCAGGGAGCAACGGGGATCTTGCCGTGTAAAGCAGGGGGTGTGAGCGTGGGGGAGGGAGCGGGGACGGGGATGGGGGCAGGGAGAGGGGTAGGGTCGGAGGGGAGGGAACAGGAGGTGGATGATGAGGAGAGGTAGGGGAGGGGGGAGTATGAGATAAGGGGGAAGGGCATTGAGTTGCGGTATGAAGGGGGACGCGTGGAGGATGCGTTCTTCTTTGAGTACCCGGGGTCGGGTGGTGGAGAGGTGAACATCAACGGCACCACGTACCACAGAGTGGTGGAGCAGGGTGGGGAGCAGTGACACCAGTTCTTGGTTTTATGTCGAGCGAAAGGTTGCAGGGCAGTGAAGTGAACATTAATGGCACCACGTACCATGGTGTGGTGGAGCAGGGTGGGGAGGAGTGACGCAGAGAAGAGGGGGAGGGGGGGAAGGGAGGGGGGAGCAGGGAAGTGATGCAGAACAGGTGCGGAGGAAGAGCAGGAGGGGGATGAGTGACACAGGGGTGTGAAGGAACAAGGTTGTGTGTGAAGGAAGCAAAACTGTGCGTACAGCACCCTTGGGAAACATGGAGCCTGTGTGTGTGTATGCCACATGTGGATGGCCCCTCTCGTCATAAGAGCAGGCCCTGTATTTATTAACTTATGGAAGACAGCTTGACTGGCACTGCAGCAGATAATTCTGGAAGGGAGGCTTGATACCCTATGTGCCTTTACCAAGCACCGCTTTTGCATTATTCAGATATCGGAACAAGCGCCCCATGCAAATCACACAGTAGTTTGAACTCCACCTGTTTCTGGCTTCACCAGTCCAGCCTGCGCTGTCTTCACCTGCACACCCCCATCCCTCTGCACCACCTCTGTCACCTGCACCTGCCCTGCCTGTGCTCCCACCTGCCCTTGTGGGGCATCTGTCTTGACCTGCCCCTGAGCACCACCTGTGTTGACCTGCGCTTGAAATGCTTGCCCTTGAACAGCCTGCTTTTGTGCTACCCCTGCCTGCCCTTGCCTGGGCCCCTCCTGCCCTTGACTTGCTTCCACCTGCTTTTGTGCTACCCCTGCCTGCCCTTGCTCTGGGCCCCTCCGCACGTTGCACGAGTTGCACGGGTACGGGCAGTCTATCAGCGCCGCCTCAAACCCATCTACGCCACCGTGCGTGCTGCTGGTGCTCTGTGCATCTGTGGTAGCGTCCACAGTTCGCAGCCACTTGCCCACAGCATGCATCAGCGTCTGCCAAGGAGGCGTGGGGGGCACATAAACGGAAACGCGAGTGAGGGGTGGGTGAGGGGTTGGTGACAGATGGGTGAGGGTGGGTGAGTGGTGGGTGAGTGGTGGAAGAGTGAGGAGGAAACCGACGCATGTGAAGTGGAATGGGGGAGGAGAGAGAGGTTGAGGTGGGGGTGGGTGGGACCTGGTTGAGCACGGTGAGTCGCAGCCAGTGGTCCTCGTAGTGGCTCGTGCAGTGGGTCAGGCACGAGAACAGAAACACCCCGTGCTGCTGCTGCACACCCAACTGCTCCCCTCCCCCGCCGGCTGCCGCGGGTGGCAGGAGGGGTGCCACAGTTGCTGTGACTGTGTCCCGCACGCCTGGGAGGAGGGGGTGAGGGAAGAGGGGTGAGAGGAGAAAGGGCATGGCAAATGGTAGAGTGAGGCAAATGGGATGGCAAACGGACGGGTTGAGGAGAACAAACGGGAAGGCAAATAACAGACAGAGGCAGGACAGTACGGAATGGTTGCACAAGTCACCCTGGTGGCTGCAGTGCAACCGTCACCTTGCAAGGTGGCGAGCTGTGATTGGTTGCATGTGTGCAGCTTCCTCAAGCAGCTGGCGATGAGTTCACCTGACGGGTCTGCCTCTGGTGGGGCGAGCGCATGCCGCAACTGACAGGAGCGCACGAGTGGGGGGAGTGGCGGGATGTGGTTCATAGTGCAGGAAATGGGTGAGCGGAACAGTGAGGAGGACGGAAAGAGAGGAAGTGTTGACGGGGTAGGGATGGGAAGAATGGGGGGGGCAACACCAATGATGCATGAGATGTGGGACAGGGAAGCGGGCATTCTTGCCGTGCAGAGCTAAAAGCAGTGTGCAGAACAATGATCCACAGTGGGCTTCAATGCAGCTGTGGCTATGAGGCACCTCAAGAATGCATGAGAGTTGATGCACATGGCACAGTTAAAAAGACCGGGGCATTGCAGGTTTGGGGGAGCAGCGTACGAGCCAGAGGTCGTAGTTGCTGTTGATGATGAACGTGGGCGTCTTGAGGAGGGGCAGTAGCTGTGCTGACATGAAACACTGCCACACAGCACAGGCACAGGGTGGGGCATGCGTATGGCTGTCGCAAAAAGTCCTTTGAGACGTCTCAAAAGTCCACATATCACAGCACATGTGACAGAAGGCAGAGCCCTAGAGTCGTATACGCAGCGCCACCACTGCTGTTAGTAGCACAGATGTTAGAAACAGAGCGCACCTGATAGTGGTCTTCAGGTGGACGAGAGGAGACGCAGGAAGCGGGAAGACTTCCAGTCACATTCTGCCACATATGCAGCCCAGAAGCATAGCGAGGCATGGTGAGGCTATGATGGCTTACGGATACCCAGGATGGCAGACAGGCACGCACTGTGATGTGGTTGCTTGCACATGTGATGACAAGCGTGCACTATGCCACGGAATGAGAGAGGGTTGAAGAGCACACGCACATGGATGGTGAGCACGGATCGGAAGAGCGTCTGAGCCGCCCTGCCGCCACTGATGTCTGGACTGTGACAGAAGAAGGGACAGCAGCGGGGTGGGGGTGAGAGAACAGAGGCATGTTACGCGCCAGATAATGGACATGAGAAGGCTGAAGGCGTATCAGCCAAGAGCGACGTACGGGCGAGGCAATGGGTGTGTGTGTGGATGTGGAGGAAGTGTCTCACAGGTCAAGAGGCCCGGGTCTGCAAGGCTCTTGAAGCGCCTCAAAAGTTTTGAGGAGCATCAAACAGCGTGGGAATGTGTGTGTGCGGGGAGGGGGGGGAGGAAGTGAGGGAAGTGGCTCACATGTCAAGGAAGAGGCCCGAGTCTGCAAGGCACTGCACGGATGCAGAGGGGGGCATGTGAGCGTGGCGGATGTAGTCGCAGTGTAGGTACACCACCAGGGCGCCCGCTGAACACCCCGATATAAGCACCTGGCGCGGCCAGGGGGATGGGAAGTTACGAAAGAACCCGATGACGGACAGACTTGGGCGGCAGGCAGGCACAGGTGGTTGGGATTGGCGCAGGGCACAAATGAAGCGAAGCGGGGGAGTGCGAGCTGTGATGTGGGTGGAGTGGAAGCATAGGTATTGGGAGTGACTGGGGCTTGTTGCAACGACGCCAGCTCCTGCTGCCCTCAGCTTCCACAGCACTCCACTGCAAACCCGCTCTGCACTGCCCTCTGCAAACCGTGTCTGCCCTGCCCTCCGCTCACCCGCTCTGCCCTCACCCCTCACCCGCTGTGCAGTGCCCATGTGGAATCTTGCTGTGAGGTGTGCGAGGAGGAAGTCGAGGATGGGCCGCCCGCGAGAGAAGAGCGGCACTCCCTGGGGAGAGGGGAGGGGAGGAAGGGGGGGATGTGCGAGGGGGGTGAAGGATGTGAGTATATGGGTCGACAGAAGTGGGTAGAAATTTATGGTCCGGGAGTGTTTGTTAATGCAGAGATACTGGAGAACGAAAAAGAGGAAGATGAAGCAGAAGGGAACAGAAATGAAGAGGAACGCAGCGACACAAGCTCCCTTCTCTCCTCTTTTACTTTGCTGCCCATTAGCTCTAGTGAAGAGCAAGAGGTCCATGGGGAGGTGGAAAGGGAGATGGTGGTGGTGGAAGAGGAGGTGGAGGATAAAGGGGTGGTAGAAGGTGTGGTGCCTCTTTATCCTCCACCTCCTCTTCCACCACCACCATCTCCCTTTCCACCTCCCCATGGACCTACTGCTCTCCACTAGAATCAATTAACAGCAAAGAAAAAGAGGAGAGAAGGGAGCTTGTGCTGAGTTCCTCTTCATTTCTGTTCCCATCTGCTTCATCTTCCTCTTTTTCGTCCTCCAATATCTCTGCATTAACAAACACTCCCGGACCATAAATTTCTATCACAGCCACGTCGTACGCAAGGGCTGCGTCTGCAGGGATGCAGGGTCCGACCACATGGCATGAAGTTATGGCATGAAACCATAGCATAATGTCATGCACTGCAGGGCAGGCTGTCAGACTCAATGCACAACACTGCTATTCGCCTATTCTGAGAGAGCACTTAATGTTGTGTGCACCTCACGACCTGCAAGGGCCACGTCCGTGTGCATCTCACCTCAAAGACCAGAGGGTCCTGCCTGTCACCAGAGAAGGACGCCCCATCGCAGTAAGGGAAGATGACCAGATTCCAGTCGTACAGGTCTGCAGGAAGGCTCCATGGAGTGGTGGAAAAGGCACAGGGCTTGCTAAAAATAAATCATCAGCAAAAATAGCCGCAGGGATGCTAACCAGGCTAGCATGCCTATTTTCTCTGAGCATGCTTGCTGTCGGCAGGCAGCACGTTTGGAAGGCGATGGGAGCTGCCCCACAGGAAGGAGCGGGCACGGCTCGGATCGGCCTACCCCAAATCACATGATATGGTACTGTTCTACTCTCAACTCACCCGGGTTGACATCGCCCTGGGCGCTGAGAATGCCGGGTGTGGGCAGCACGTCAGGGAAGTGCTTGGAGCTGCCCCACAGCGACGAGCTGCGGTTGTAGCAGTCCCAGGGGGACGTGCACCACGCTCCCGACTGCACAGAGCGGGGGACAGGGAGGGAGAGGGGGCAGGTTGTGGGGAAGCGGGGACCAGGGGGAAGCGGTGGGGAGATGGGGGGTGGCAGCAGGGAACACAGAGAGGGGAGGATACGTGGGAGGTGATACAGGAAGAAAATCGGGCATGAGCAGCACATCAGTTGAGCTGCCCCACAGCGACGAGCTGAGGTTGTAGCAATCCCACGGGGTCGTGCACCATGCGCCCGACTGCAGAGTGGGGAGCACGGAGGGGGGAAAAGGGGGAGGGGTTTCGAGTCGACTCAATGCTTGACCCACAGCGATGCGCTGCGGTTGTAGCTGTCGCACAGGGACGTGCACCATGCTCCCGATTGCACCGGGGGGGAAGCACGGGGGGTTGGCCCGTAGGGAGGTGGGGCGAAAGCGGGGGAAGGGGGGGTGGGGGGACTTAGGTGGAGGTGGAAGTGAGGTATGAATGAGAAAGGGAGGATCTCAGGGGAGTGGATACACATGTCTGCATGTCCACATGTGTGCACGCTTATACATCTCACCCGGAAGTTGAGCAGCCATTTGTTAGCGCCGCTGCCATGGCCTCGCCGGTAGTAGAAGCCTGGCGCGGACCCGTCCAGACACACTGCCAGTGCCACGTGGTCGGGGGACGGGTGAGACGGAACGGCAAAATGTTCACCATGAGCACGAGTGGTATTGGACGTGAGATGTGGTGTCATGGGTACGGACGACTGCGAACGAAAGCACACGTCTTCTGAAATGAACAGTCATTCTGAATGCGATAGACTTCTGGTTGCTACAGCGTTGCATTTGAATGCTTCAGCGTCCTGAATGCTGGACCAGGGAGAGGGACGAAGCACAGTCGTTCATAAGCCAAGTGCAATAACTGCATCAATTCCTCCGCTCCAAGCCCCCTCCACGGCTCACGCCGTCCCATAACAGACACTACAACGGATCACGCGGACTACACCTTACTCCCACTCCTCACCCGCGCCATGCTTCTTCGCCTCTTCCACGATAAACAGCCGCAGTGACCTCTCTCGCGCTGCTTCGTCCTCTAGTACCGCGCGACGCGCCGCTCCTGGCCGCGGCGTGACAACTGCGCTTCGTGAATTCGGGGTTCCACCGTCACGAATCGTGACTCTATCGGCGCCATCAGTGACGGTGCTTCTATCGAATGTCGCGCTGGCGACGAGGAGCGATAGCAGAAGCGTGGCGAAGAATGGTGTGTTCGACAACAATGAACTGCAAACGAAAGGTACCATCGCTTGTGTGCTTGTGAAAGTCCGAGCAGTCAGGAGAGCCTTGGGAATTTCACACCAAAGAGCTCCGAAGTTCCATGTGCTCGTGCGCTTCACCTGAAGCCCAAAAAGTTTCGGAAATTCGAGCACAAAGAGAAAGAGCACAAATTAGAGCCCAAAAAGTTTCGGAAATACACCTCAATAGGATTTGAATAAGCGCCAATCATACATCAAGAAAGTGATGCACACCACTCTACCTTCAACGTCCGGCATGGAAGAAAGCTGTATGAATCGCATTCGTTGGCTCTCTTTTGCCTTCAACCTAGATAATTCAGAAAATATTATACATTAGTCTCTACGTTCTAACTATACATGGCTTACCATTGTGAGTGTGGTCTCATTACTACACGGTAGCCCTTTCTCTATACATGTGTGCTATGTGCATGCACAGCTGGATGTCCCTTCCATCTCCCCATCCCCCCCATCCCTGGAACATCATCCACCACTTCTCCTCCTCTCGTTCCACAATGGGAGCCGAGGCATTCACCATCATCCAATGGTCCTCATCCAACAACTGCACCTTCTCTATCCCTTCCTCTCCTGTACTACACCCCACACTCTTCCCCTCCTTCCCCTCCTTCCCATCCGTCTCGCTCCCTCCCCCACCACTCCCCGTCACAGCAGCAGCTGCACTAGTGTTACTCTTGCCCTGCGAGTCCCCCTGCCCGGAGTGCAGCCCGCAGGACCCCACGTGGTGCGCGCTGGCGCGGGACCAGCGCAGCGACCAGGAGGAGGGCAGGCGGCGCAGCACGGAGGACCAGAGGGTCAGGTCCCAGTTGTAGTCGTCGTACAGGCAGAACGGCTGGGGGAACGAGGGGTTGGGCGGTTGGCAGGGATAGGGTGGGTGAGCGCCAGAAATGGGGTGGGTGGCTAGCAGGGATAGAGTGACTGGCAGAGAAGAATCAGGGGTCAATAGCAGAACAAACTGAGAGAGAATTGTGACTGAGAACAAACAAGCGACTTGGACTTACGATCAGGGCTCCGTCTCACCTTGGCCTGTGCGTGAATGAGCTCCCACACGCTGCGGTTAAACGCATACCCCACATTGCACATGCGCTCCGCTGCCAGCTCCCCTGGCTCGTCGTCCTGTATCGAGTGCACATCGGAGGGGGCGAGGTTGGCGGCGATGCAGTGGGGGCAGCGCGCGTGCTTGGCTAGGAGGAGCGCTTGCAGGTGGCGCAGGGCGTTGGGGAAGAGCAGATGGTCCTCCTCCACCCACACCACGTGCCCTCCATACCCCCGCGTCTCCTCCACGCCCCCCCACACCGCGTTCATCGCCCACCACCAGTGGTGCTGCAATGGGGGGAAGAGGGGAGGGCGGGGGAGCGGCACACGTGGACAGCGAGGGAGAGAGAGTGTAACGAAACAAGTACAACAAAGTCAGGATGCAGTAGGGGAGGCGGAGTGGGAGTGGTGCACATGGCATGGGGGAAGGCGGTAGAAAGAGTACAAGGATGAGGGAGATGTGCGAGGGGAGTGGACCCAGAGTGAGTACGCATACAGCAGCCAATCAGAGCCCCCTCACCTTAAGAGACAGCCTCCCCGGGTCTCTGAACGACCCGTATTGGTCTGCCTGACCCGTGCACTCCCCCCCTCGCGCGCCCTCCCCGCGCACCCCTGAGGCGCCTTGCGCTCTCCCCCGGCAGTCGGCGGGGGAGGCGGCGGGGAAGGAGGCGCTGAAGAGGTGCGGGGAGAGCGGGAAGTAGAGCTGCTTGACCGCGCAGAACGTGATTCCGCGCACCAGCGCGTGCATCTCGGGGTAGTACCCGTCGTGGCTGCGCGGGGAAAAGGAGGCGGGGCGGGGGAAGGTTGGGAGGGGGGGGGGGGGATTTGAGGGGAAGGGGAAGGTCGAGTGTTTATGAACTTCATAACTTTATGAACTTCAACTTCCCACGTTGAACGTGGGAACGACATGCACAAGCCTGAGCACAGTAACCGGTTTGATGCGGAGAATGGCGGCATTGCGAGTCGACTAGACATAGACGCACCTGACGATGAGCAGCGTGTCTTCGATGCCTTCCACTTTGCTCAGCGCCTCCAGCGTGCGTCGCAGGTACGCGGGGCGGTTGTGCACCAGCAGCACCATCACCACATCTGAGTCGCTTAACCGCTTCTTCCACGGACCTCGCGTTCCAGTAACATTAGTGTTGCTATCACTACTGCTGCCAGTAATAGCAATGCTACTGCTAGCCCGTTTCCCCTTCGCGCTTCGCCGCACTTGTGCGCGTAGCTTCGCCAGCAGCCCCATCCCGCCGCCGCTCTTCTCCGCGTTTCCCGCCGTCAAAGGCGCTCTCGCCGGCTGGCGATTCCACTCCTCGAGCCGCCGAGAGAGCGGCGAGGAAGGCGGCCACGGCTCGTGCGGGTTCATGCGACGCCACATGTCGAAGAACGATTGGGCTTCGCGTTCCTTCCTTCCGTTAAAAAGGTCGAGCAGTCTAGCTCCCGCGCGATCGTAATTCTCCTCCGTCTTCAAATCCATGTGCTCCACCTCATCCCGCATGGACTTCAGATTTTTCTCCATTTCCAAGTCGGCGCGATTGTGGTCTTCCGTCGCGGCGCGGATCGTTGAACCTCCGCGAGATGCGGCGTTCAGCGCCGCGAATCCACTTCGGAACAGCTCCTGGTTGAGGGCCCCGGCAGGTTCGCGTCTACTAGAAACGAGCCACGTGCCATCTTCTATCGCCACGTCATCAGATTCTGCCAGCTCTATCCCTAGTTTCGAAGCGGAGTAGCGAAACCAGGGCCATATTAGCCGCGGCACGCGCGCGAACCACCAGCGAGTTCGCAGCTTCGCTAGCTGCTCGTTGATTATTCGCAACAAATCGCATCGTCTCAGCCATTCGTCTACACTCTCGCGTAGTACGTCGCCCGCATCATCGCTCGTATCCTCGTTCGTGTCGCCAGTCTGGTCGCCAGAGTCAGAGTCCTTTGCGACAACCACTTCGTTCGTCGCAGGGGGGGCCCAGGCTCGCGGGAGGAGGCGAGCCGGGAGAAGAGACACGGGCGAAAATCCCCCAGAGGGCGACGCGGCATGGAAGAGAGCGAGCGCGAGGAGCGCTTGCGCGAGGAGCAGCAGGAGGAGACACGAGGAGGTACATGCGGGGGAGACATAGCGCCGGTAGTGCCGCGGAGAGATGAGTCCGCCCAGGCTTTGCGCGTTAACGGAAGGATGAACCGCAATTAAAGGCCTAGCGAGAGCTGCCGTACGAAGCGAGCCGAGTTGGCTGGGAATAAGGCGCGCAAGGAACGACATGAGTAGCGAGAGGATGCGCTGCAATCAGCGCACGAGCTGTCGGAGCTTTCTAGTAAGTCCAAGTCTCCTACAAAAGGCGTTCCGTAGAATATTAATTGGCTCGCGTCTGCTATACGTTGACGTGATGCTTGTTCGGTGGCCAGGCTCCAACGTCAGTGGTTTTGTTTCTGCGGTGTGACGGCAGCGAGCAGCAAGAGCAGCAGCAGGGACATCGACCGGGAGTGACTGTTCGAAGAAAAGTGAAACAGGTCGCGGAGTGAAGAGGGATGGAGAAGAGTGGAGAGTGATAATGGCTGCATCGCAGAGACTGGCGACAGGGCAGGCCGCTGGAGTTACTGCCTCGCCTCGCCGTCCTGTCTGAAATTTGCGACTGCTCTGCTCGTTTTCTGTGAAACGCGCAGTTCGCCGTTGAATGCGATGTGACGGGATGGAGCGACTCGTGTTTCCTCAATCCGACGGCGTAGAGAAAATTGATCGCGACTAATTTCGGGACGTATACATTCCCGCGTGGTGGCGAAACGCGCGAACAGAGGCGTGATGATCGGCCTTTCGAAAAGAAGGTTCTTGAGAGTCGCCGATATGCGCATTTTCTTATCATCCATGACATGCAGAATGTGCTTCGGATAAAACGACTCACATGTAACTTTCAAGAGCTGTACATCTTGGATATGTAAATGCATAACTCTATATCACGCCCATCACCCAATCCACCCCAACCTCTAAAAGAGCTAGGTGTGATTTTGAAACACCTAGGAATCAACGGAGCTGAACCATTTATGGACATCCTTGTATCTTCAGTTGTAATCACGACCTCCTCACCATCATCATTATGGTTCCACCAAGATTTGTTCTTATCGCAGCTGTTGGTCTTCCGCTCCCTCCCTGAGTGAAATCCACAATTGCCAAAGTGTCTTGCACTTGTTCTTGACCAGCGAATAGAAGATGCATGCGGCAACCGCTTCAACACAGAACCCGACATTGTAATATCCCAATTGTAGTCGTCAAAGAAGCAGAATGCCTGCGAGTTGTGTGCACACAAATAGAGATGCCGCGTTTGAACTAGCACCAGCAACAAGGAACGGAATGTGCATGAAGGATTGTAGAAAAGAGTAAAAATATAATGCATACCTCTGCTTGTTTGTGAATCAAATCCCACACAGTGCGGTTAAAGCAGTACCCAATGTTCCCCATGGTCTCCACAGAGAAAGTCCGAGGCCCACTGTCCTGCCACTCATGCACATCGGAGGGCGCGAGGTTGGCGGCGATGCAGTGGGGGCAGTTCGCGTGCTTGGCGTGGAGGAGCACTTGCAGGTGGCGCAGGGCGTTGGGGAAGAGCATATGGTCCTCCTCCACCCACACCACGTGCCCTCCATACCCCCGCGTCTCCGCCACGCCCCCCCACACCGCGTTCATCGCCCACCACCAGTGGTGCTGCAATGGGGAAGGGAGTGGGGGGCAAACGAGGGAGAGAGAGCCTGATGAGGAAGCAGGTAACATCAAATACAGTGTCAAAGCAGAAAAATGTGGTGACCAATCTCACCTTGAGAGATATTATCCGAGGGTCCCTGAACCTTCCAAACTGATCCACCTGTCCACTGCAATTGCCAACCCACTCCTTCCCTTCCTCCGGTCCCTCTCCTCCTCCTCCACCACCCCCTTCGTCACCTTCTGCTTCCCCCCAGGCGACCTCACTCCTAGGCAGCCGGCCTTGGCAGTCGTCAGGGGAAGCTGCAGGGAAGGTGCGGTTGAAGAGGTGAGGGGAGAAGGGGAAGTAGATCTGCTTCACGGGGCAGAAGTCAATCGCCCTCACCATGGCGTCCATCTTGGGGTAGTACCCATCATGACTGCATGACAGAGAGATGAGCATGTGGGAAGGAGATAATGCATGTGAGATGAGGCTATAGTGGAATGGCAGAACAAGTGGTGGGAAATCCATGTGACAAAGACAGAAGCAGCATGCTCAGGAATTAAAAAGTTTCTTTTGAAGAAACGACTCGCACTCACCTTACAATGAGCACCTGCTGCACTCACCTTACAATGAGCACCTGCACTCACCTTACAATGAGCACCTGCACTCACCTTACAACGAGCAGCTGCACTCACCTTACAATGAGCACCTGCACTCACCTTACAATGAGCACCTGCACTCACCTTACAATGACCACCTGCACTCACCTTACAATGAGCACCTGCACTCACCTTACAATGAGCACCTGCACTCACCTTACAACGAGCAACTGCACTCACCTTACAATGAGCACCTGCACTCACCTTACAATGAGCACCTGCACTCACCTTACAATGAGCAGCTGCACTCACCTTACAATGAGCACCTGCACTCACCTTACAATGAGCACCTGCACTCACCTTACAATGAGCAGCTGCTGCACTCACCTTACAATGAGCACCTGCACTCACCTTACAATGAGCAGCACATCTCGAATGCCCTCCACGCGTCGCATGGCTGCGAGCGTCCGTCTGAGATACGCCGGCCGGTTGTGAACCAGCAGCACCATCACGATCTCATCGTCCCCAAGCCGCGCCTTGCTACTGTCTTGCGCGTCCTCTGCTCTTCGCTCATTGGCTGCGGAATCGTCACTCCGCCGGAACAGCTTGCGCACGTCCCGGCTTGGTTTCCGCGGAGTGCGAGGAGGCAACTCATTCTTTTTCGCGAGGCCAGAGGAAAGCGAATTCAGTGGCGGCCATGTCACCTGGGGGTTTGCGCGACGCCATGCGTTGAAAAATGCATTTGATTCTCGCTGCTTCTTCTGCCTTTCGAAGTCTAGAAGCTTCATCTGAAGCGCGTCAAGCTCGGATTGGTTCACATTGGTCATGGCGGCGATAGCGGCCCGAACCTCTAAGAGAAACTCACGCTTTGCAGGCAGATCCACTGGCGCAACAGGGACTGACCGAGTCTCGTTAGCCATCAGCGGGTCTGCTTCGCGAGCAATGGAGGTATTCCCTCTGACTAGAGTCGCACGGTTTCCGTCAGCCCATGCGACAAACGCGACCTTCTGCGAGCACGTTTTTCCCGAGTCGTCGCGTCGCAACTCGTCGTCGATGCGTCGCAGCATGTCGCTGCGAGCTGTCGTAAGCACCTCGCGGCGTGCGAGCTCTTCCAGAGAGAAGAGCTGCGGGTTCATGAATGCGTCGACTGCTTCTGCCTCAGGGAATGCCGATCCACCACTTTCCTCCTCTACCTCGCTCGGCACGCGTCCTCCCTCTGAGAAATCCAAGGAATTCGATTCATGTATCTCGTTTCGCGAAGCGAGAAAGGAGAGTTCGTCTGTTCTCAAGTCAGTCGTCGTGCAAAGTAACCGCACGGGGATTTGAGGAAGGAGGTTGAAGAAGAGAATGGCGATGACGCTGTTTACGAGGAGAAGGCACGCGATGACGTTTCGCGCGGTGCTGATGGTGCGATGGCTGCGGGGAACGAGAGGTGCCAGATGAGCCACGGTAGCCATTGGATCTCTCCCTGACAACCATGCCACAATGCTCGTAGGCGGAACTACCTACACGGGACTTAGACACAAGCCGGCTGACGTCAAAGGGATAATTCTAGTCACCGAAAAAGGCATGGCGTCGATAGACTGCCTGCTGTTCTGTGCCTGGCCGAACACCAAAGAAAAGCGCGAAGAATCCAGTTTGCGAATGGTGGAGTCAGGCGGTGGTGGTGATGGCTGAATCGAGCGGCGACTTGGCATTTGCGTGTGCTGTGGAATATGCAATGTACCGTAGCAAATGCTACACCCTCTTTCTCGCCATACTGACGTCCGCTATACCGACTTCCAGAGTGAAAAAGCTCGGTTGAGGTTGGTTGATTTAGGTTTTGGTATGGTTTATTTGGGCAAATCGAATAGGACAAGGCCAGCCTGCCAGTTACGCGCGGGTCAGTGTAGCGAGAAACAGGGTGTAGCAGCTTTACTTTAGCTGCACAACAGGTCTAGGAATGATAATCATGATAACGATTCTGCACTAGGATGGAACCAACACCTTTCCTGGTAGTAGTTTGCAGCTATGAGCCATTATGCAGCTCGTGTGAATCTGGATTATGGGTGTGACTGGGCCTTTTGCAGACTGGATACACACGCTACGATAAGTTAGAATGCCACTATGTTAGATACAGGTACATACAGACACGGTATCACTACAGAATCTCACCCTTGATGCCCTTCAAATAGGCTCCCTATCTGCTCGTTCACCTGTTGCGGCGTGTGCCTTATATGTTTGGCTTGATGCCGCAGAGTGGCACCGTGTGTTTTGTAAAATAGGGTGTACAGTGATAGCACCCTGTACCGCACTGCCTGGTGTAGCTCCTGTTGCAGAGGGCCAGGGTTGACCATCCAAGTTCGCTGAACCCTGCACGCCTCTTCAAACAATGCCGAGAATTGCTTGAATATTTCCTGCAAGTTGCAATCACGAGCAACAGCATTGAACAAAACAGTGAGACAAATTTTATTAGTGAGCATGCAAGCAGGGCGTATACAGGATGAAGAATGCATGCAGTAAGCCAAATGCAACCACCCCAAGCAAGCCCTTGGGAGTACCTTGAGGGAACCATTGGGATTATTATAAGAAAGCCTTGGGATTACCTTGAGGGAGCCCTTGGGGTTGAGGAAGGAGGTGGTGGGAACCTCTCTGAGCGGTGCCACCACGCGGTTCCACGCCACTTTCAGGTACTCGTTCGCCTGCTGCTGCGCCCTTGGGATTACCTTGAGGGCGGCCTCGGGATTACCTTGAGGGAGCCCTTGGGGTTGAGGAAGGAGGTGGTGGGAACCTCTCTGAGCGGCGCCACCACGCGGTTCCACGCCACTTTCAGGTACTCGTTCGCCTGCTGCTGTGCCGTGTCTGCCCGGTCCCTGATCCAGTCGTCCCCCACCAGCATGCGCAGCTCACAGCCTTTCACCTGTATTGTGTGTGTGTGATGGGAAGGCAGGAGGAAATAAAGGAGAAAAGAGGGATGAGTTGACTGAAGCGTCATGTCCCAATCCGACCTGATCCAGTCGTCCCCCACCAGCATGCGCAGCTCACACCCCTTCACCTGCGCAGTACAGGAGGAGAGGAGAGGATGAAAGAGAGACGTCTGACTTTAGGAATACACAGGCCACCCTGATGTGGTCGCTTGCCTGCTGCTGCACTGTGTCTGCCCGGTCCCTGATCCAGTCGTCCCCCACCAGCATGCGCAGCTCACACCCCTTCACCTGTATTGTGTGTGTGTGATGGGGAGGGGGGAGAGAATGGAGCAGAGGCATGAGATGACTTCAGAGTCACGTCTGACCTGATCCAGCCGGCCCCATCAGCATGGGACAGCTCACAGCTCTTCACCGTGTGTGCACCCTACTCTCCCAGACTCCCAGCTTATCTGCAATGCCCTACAATGCACTGCTGCACGTTCTTCACCTGTCAGGCGTCTCAAAAGCCGTCTCTTTACCTTGCGTGCGATGTACTGCACGTTGTTCATCATGAAAAAATGCGCCAGCCCTGCATCCCGGTACGTCAGCGCCTTCCCCAGAAGCTTCGCCTCCAACACCTTGAGAATCCCCCGAATCTTCCGTCCCACCTCCCGATACTCCTCCTGCGGCTCCCCCCAGTACCGCTTCCCATCCTCCCCCACCACTCCGCCCTCCTCCCCCTCCTCCTCCCCCTGCACCTCCTCCTCCCCAAACTCCTCCTCCTCCTCCTCGTCCCGACCTCAGCCGAAGCAGCTTCGGCACCGGCACCACCACCGCGTTCCCACTGCTGCTATACAGCTTATTAATAGTGTCACTGTATTCAAAGAGCAAGCCCAGGTAGTTGACAACGTAGCTGGTGAGCCCGTGCACGGAGCCGGCGGGAGGGGGCCGGCTGTCCTCCTGCTCTATGTTTCGCTCGAAGTCAGCGAGAATGCCTCTCACTGCCACGCCCACGTAGCTCAGCACGACCGATAGCTCGTTTCGCACGCTCCGGCACGCGCCGTTGCCTGTAGGGATTGGCGGAGGGAGGGGGTGTAAGGAGAGGGGGAGGGAGGAAAAGGCGGGGGAGGGGGAGTGGGGGTTCAGGTTCTGAGATGTCTTGAAGTCAGCGAGGATGCCTCTCACGGTAACGCCCACATAGCTCAGCACCACTGACAGCTCGTTGCGCACACTGCAACACGGCCCATTGCCTGGAGAAGGTGGAATGGGGGGCGAAGCGACAGAAAAAGGGGGTTGCTGTTGGGAGAGCACAGACAGAAAATCCAATCTACCAACACATGGTAACCAGGACTGAACCACATGGCTAGTCCTAGTGCCGTACCGCACACAACCGCGTTGAAATCCGGCTGCAGCTCCTGCAGCGTCTCGTAGATGTCGAGCATGGCGAAGAGGCGCTCAGGCGCCTTGTGCCCCGCCGCAAAGGCCTCCACGAAGTCAAACAGCCGCCCCATGCTGCCCTTTGCCGTCTCCGCAAAGCACTGCTCGCTGTCCTGCAAAAGGGGCAGATGGGGGGCGATGGAGAGAGCAACAGATTGAAAACAAGGGCAAGCAATCATTCTCGCTGTCCTGCCTTTCACTGTCTCCGCGACACACAGCTCGCCGCTGTTCAAGGGGAGGTGGGAACGGGAGGGGGCAGGGTATGGGGGAGAATGGGGGAGGGAAGTGGAAGAAGCAGCAGGCGAACATGAGAGGGGATAGAGGACGAGAGCTAACAAGCATAGCTCGTCCGTCACTGTCTCTGGAGAGCACAGATCGCGAGGGATAAATAACCACACAGCGAACCACCTCCACCGCATCCAACCCACCTCCACCCATCCAACCCACCTCGACGGTGTCAAAGACCCGTTCACAGAGCTTCCTCTCAGCGGCGAGCAGCACGCGCACGCCCCTTCGCGCATACGCCTTCCACAGGTCCACCCGCGCTGCCAGCTCATCCCAGTCGAGTGTCGGCACCAGCCGAGGGTCGAAGCGACCCGCTGCCAGCTGCTTCAGGGATTCCTCTAGCACCGCCTGTGGGTGGGAGGGATGGAGGGAGGGAGGGAGGGAGGGAGGGAGGGAGGGAGGGTGGGAGGGAGGGAGGGAGGGAGGGAGGGGGGAAGGGGAGGAGCGGAAATTATGGGTTGACAGAAGGCACACGCATAGCTGCCGCGCGTACGCCTTCCACAGGTCTATACGCGTTGCCAGCTGGCTCCTCCCACTCGAGCGTCGGCACCAGCCGAGGGTCAAACCGCCCTGCTGCCAGCTGCTTCAGGGATTCCTCTAGCACCGCCTGTGGGTGGGAGGGATGGAGAGGAGGAGAGAGACGGGGGAGGAGAGAGAACGGGGAGAGTGAGGGATGAAGGGGTAGGAGAGAGACGGGCGAAGAAAGAGGTTGGAAAAACTTGTGATTTGAGTCAAACCCTGATGCTGAAGAAACAGCTCCCACTCTTCCCTCGCTGCTCCCACTCTTCCCTCGCTGCTCCCACTCTTCCCACTGCTCCCACTCTTCCCTCGCTCGCTCCCAACCTGTTATTCTCCCCTCGGCCTACCTCACGCCCGCTTTGCTCATTCCGACTCGCCCTACCTTGCGCACGGTGCGGTAGTTCCGCCTGAGCGAGGGGGAGAGCCCCGCGCGCGCAGCCACGCGCGCAATGGCGTGGAGGCGCCACACGGCGGGCTCGGGGAGGAAGGAGGGCGCGCGGTCGAGCGCGGAGACCGCGAGGGACGCGGACGAGGGGGAGGAGGAGGGGGAAGAGGACGCGACGGGGGTGGCGGCCGCGGAGGGGGAGAGCGGCGCGGAGGAGCGCGGGGGCTTGGATACGCGCTTGGCGGCCTCGTTGACCTGCGGGCGGTGGGGGAAGGGCGCGCGGACGGCGGGGAAGGAGGGGAGAGCACTGAGATACGCGGTTGAAAAAATGGGAAAAGAATATAACTGGTGTAAAAGATAATGAACCTGTACGGGCAATGGCTCTTGTATTTCAGTAACGCGTCTGTCCTGCGTACCCAGGCGTCACAACAAGGTAAAGACGTACCCGAGTTTAAAGACGTATCAGAAAATCACGGCAAGGTAAAGACGTACCCGATCGGGCGGCACGGGGTGGCTCTCAGCGAGCAGCACGTGCAGAAAGCCCTCCTCGAGCCGCGGCACGACGTTGTTCAGCATCGCCTTCGCCGACTCGCGCACGAAGGCCATCCCGGGCGGCACGCCGGGCATGTTGGCGGCGTCGATGAGATCGAAGAGGCGCTCGACGGCTTCGAGATACGCGCGCACGTCGACGACCGACGCGTCCCATATGGCGGTCCCCGCGCCGCCGGAGGAGGAAGAAGCAGAGTGCTGCGCGGGTTGCCCATGCCACCCGCCGAGGACGGCTATGGAGGACTCTAGGGTTTCGAGCGGGGATGTGTACGCGTGCGCGTGCGCGTGCGCCGCTCGCGACGAGTCACGCATGGCGGGCAGATAAGCGGAGTCGGCGGCGGGACAGCGGAAGAGTTGAGCACGGGGAGTTCACTAAGCGCGCAAAGGTGACGCTAACAACTAGCTTAGTTCGTTGAGAATGCTAAGTTCGTTGAGGATGCTAAGTTCGTTGAGAATGCCAAGTTACGTTGAGAATGCACGCTAACAACTAGCACAGTAAGATGGGGTACGGCAGCGAAATCAGGCTGGTCTAAGATGAGGTGTGCTTGTGATGAATACGGCAGCGACGTGTGAAACGGCAAGTGACATGAATACGGCCGTGGTACATTGGGCTCACAATCGATGCTTGAGGCTCGAGCCCACATTGGAGGTTTCGGGTAACCCGAATTCCCATACGGAAATTGGGCTTCCCAAATTTGGAATTGAGCTTCCCGCTCGAGCGTGGGGCTCGAGCCTTGGATACGAGTTCGCTTCGCGAATGTGTGTCGTCTTCCACTCGTCATTCCCACTGTAGCGCGTGCTTCAACAAAAATTGGAAACGAGGGTAACCATGTTTTGTATATGCCACTTCAGGATTCCCTATCGCTAGTCAGACTTCGCAAACACAAACAAGAGGCTCGAGCCAGGCTCGATGTATTTTCCAGAGTATCATTCACCTGGACATTGAGCTCAGGCTCGAGCCTACCATAGAATTTCACCAAGTGTACCACGTCCTAATAGGCTGAAGGGCAATGGGAAGGGAGAAGGTGGTGGTGGTGTTTCCAGTGTGCGGAGAGAGGATGATTTCGAGGGCACTTGGATGGGCTGACGTCCTCGCTGTTAGCACTACAGAAAATATTTCATATTGTTAAGAGATATTTCTAGTTCTACTGCTTATATACGCACACAATCTGCAAGGAAAGGAGTCAATACTGAGTCTAAGCACACGTTGGTAGTGACCCAGCACTCCACATCTGCACGGAAAGAAAACAATGGAGCAGAGAAAGCGGCTGTTGTGAGGTCTCAAGATGCAAAAACAGAGCTTCAAGACGATGGGATAACATGTATATAATGGATTGAAGGTATGTCGGTACGGTACCTGCGCCAGGCGTGGAAGTTGGCGTTATTTGACGGGGTCCTCGGCAGCCGCCACTATGGTGTGCCGCAGTTCGTCCCGATGCATTGAATCGGCGTTCAGGAACGAATCTGGAGGGGCAAAGCTGTCTATGTCCGGCGCCCCTAAGTACACCGGCACTGTACCTGCAGGGGGGGTTGGGGGAAGGGGAGGAGTGGGGGGGAGTGGTGAGGTTCATGGGAACTGAAGGGGTAGATACGATGAAGCGGCGAGAATGATTAGAGAGCATATTGACTATGAATCCAGCGACCGGAGCACGTTTCACTGGACATGCACAATGCATGCGCCGTGTGCGTGCATGTGCATACATGTCATGTGTGTGAAATTCGCCAGCAGGTTTCCACTGTCCTCATCTCACCTGCTTCTAACGCATGGAAGAATTTCTCAGTCACGAAGCCGCGCTCCTCGCGTGACTCTATAACGAGGTTGAACAGGTAGTGTGACTGTACGCAGTGTAAGTGGTCCCACCAGTCCTTGTGCCCCCCGCCCCGCACATCCCCACCCCTGCATCCTCCTCCTCCTCCCAGCTCTCCTCACTCCTCCCCCACACTCCCCCCCCCTCCTGTGCGAATTCCTCTCATGGGCCTCCTTGCAATCTCAGCTTCCTGCCGAGCCTCCTCTGCTGCCTCCTTACCACCATTGTCATCACCACCACCTCCTCCTCCTCCTCCTCCTCCTCCTCCCCCCTCCCCTCCTGCCTCTCCTCCCGATGCTCCCTTCCCCCTCCCTCTCTGTCCTGCTGCTGCTGCTGCAGACTCACCCTCGCGCGTGCCCGTGCTCCCACCTTGGCCCGTCTTGTTGCGCGCGTGCCCGCCATCCAGGTTCGCCCTCTGACCATGTGCCCCGAAATATCTGAACACGGCAAGCGAGGTGGACTTGGATTCGACTCGAAATGGGAGGAGAAAGTACACTAATTGCACACAGCACGTACAGGGAGCGCGAAGGCAGCACAGCTAGTGAAACACAAACTGCTGCTTTGTGCCGCATGCTACACAGAAGGCATGCTGTAGGTGTGCAAAGCACGGCACGTACTGGCACATGCTGTAGGTGCCTCCTCCTCCCGCATGTTGTTGCTGGTGCAACTGCCAGTGCTGTGCACTGCATGTCACACACTACACAGCCCTCTAATCGGAACCCATACAGGCACATGCTGAGGGCATACAGGACGTACTGGCACATGCTATAGGTGTCCAGCACGTCTGCCTCCTCCTCCTTCATGTTGTTGCTGCGGCTGCCTATGCTGTGCGCCATGCGCCTCATCAGTGCTCCAATGCGCTCGCGCCAGCTGGACGGGCGAGATGCTGCGTGGATGAGAGGCGGTGACTGGGACACGCAGGGATTGGGGGGTGGATGGGATGATGGGTGGATGGGATGGTAGGATGATGGGAGGATGGGATGTTGGGATGATGGGAGGATGGGATGATGAGATTATGAGACAAAGGATGTGTCGTGAGCAGGCTTCATAGGGAAATGTGCAACCCGCAAGAGAAAGCGACGCCATGCCATCCCATGATACGCCCCATGTCATGCCACCCCATACCGTGTTCCCATGCCATGCACGCCCCATGCCACGCACGCCCCATGCCACGCACGCCCCATGCCATGGCCCCATGCGCACCTTTCGCTTGACGCCAGACACATGGCGGTTGCGATCGGCATGCTCCAGCTGCCCCGCATACGTCACCTGCACATCTGCACCCGCTCCATACCCCACCATCACGTCCGCCCCAACCCTGCTGCCCCTGCTGCCCCTATCACTGCCATTACTGTTACCACTGCTGCTGCCAGTGCTGCCACTACCACGACCATCGGCACTATGCCCTGGCCGCCCTTCCCCGCCCCCATGCCCCTCCATGTCCATTTGCACCACTAGGGGCCTGCCTCCCGCCCCTGTGCTGCTCGGGTGGTTTGGAATATCTCGGGGTAATTCGCCCTCGAAAAGCAGCGCGTGTGGGGAGGGGGAGAGGGTCGGGGAGCGGGAGAAGGAGCAGGAGAGGTGGCAGGGGCAGGTGTAGAGACCGTCTAGCCAATCAGGGATTGACGGGGAGGAAACCACCTGGATTGGGGAGGGATGGATGGAGATGAGCAGAGCGGAGAACAACGAAATGATGGATGTGGTGTGACGGGAAGAGCATATGAGATGGGGAGAATCTGGAGTATAAATCAATGGAGCCTTGGAAGCATGTGGATGCAGGACTGGAGGATGCATGGAAAGGGCACTGCACAGCATACATTCATGTGGAATGTTTGTAGCTTGAGATTCCACATGGCAGGATACATGCATGCATTGCATGTGGCAGAGCACCTGAATGGCGACATGAGGCAACTTGAGAGCAGAGCACGGCAGGGAAGAAGCATCCTGGAAGCTGCTGCTCTGGGGCCACGTGTCGTTCTGGTACTGGGGCGATGAGATCTGAGGTGGAAGCAAAGCGGGGCGCACCCAGCCAGCAGCACACGTGCGAGGGAGTGGTAATCTGAGTCATGGCACCTTGGTGGCTGCGTGAATGGTAACTTCGTGCCCAGTACGAGATAATGGCTGCTCTGCATGAGACGAATCACTGCCTGCATGGAGTTCACATGTCGGAACGTGCGAAATCGGTGTGCAGCAACGGGAATCCCCCCAAAGCTGGACAATGGGCGCGGATTTACGGACGCCGAACCTGCGTGCTTGGTTCGGAAGGCGGCACATCCGACAGCCTTGTCCCACGCCGCCCCACGCCTCGTCCATGTCCATCGCTCTGCCGAGCCACGACTCCTTGCGTCGTGCTACGGTGCCGAACCTCACCCGGAGCTCCGGGTCCGACAGCTCCGGCGGGCCACGTGGCAGGTCGAGACTGGCGCCGTCGATCGCATCTGCTTCGGAATCGTAGATATCGATGCGCGGATCGGGTTCTGGAGGGAGACGCGTGAGCGAAGGAATAGGCGTGTCTTTATTAGTATGCCATTTGAGACGCGTCGCGGCGAACTCACGTCCGAATCGCAGCAGCGACCCGAGGAGGCGCTCCGACCGCGCCGGGTGCGCGGAGGAGAGGAGCAGGAGCACGCCGAGCAATGCGGCGGCTCTTGCGGCGGGAATCCCGGCAGCAGCATGGGTCCATGTTCTCATGACTGTTAGCACGCTGCAGGCCCGATGTCATGAGGACGCGTCATCGCGTGCTCGCTAGCTGACACGTGGCACGCATGAAAACAGTAGAATGCTTTACGTAAGTAGATTCCGCAGCAAAAGTGCAACGGGTCAGGCACGGATTGGGTAGCACTCGGACAGCAGCGGCAGAATCGTGGGGTGGGGACCCAAAAGTACAGATTCTCATTCAGAGGTGAATTTGTTCGTTACTTTCTCATGACTGTGATCGGATTCGTGACCTTGCAGATCCCTGATCGCACATTAGGCTATTAGTTACTGACTCGCTTTCGGGCATCCTAGTTGCCACATCCGATTGCATCGCACATTTTGCATCGCACTAGTCGCGTCGCCCGTGATTGTGCGGCTATTCTTCGTTGTCCGCCCGTCGCAGCACGAGCTGCCATGCGCTTTTCGCCAGTCCCCATCGCCGGCGCGCGTTGATCCGCCGCCGCCATGCCGCCACGCGCGCAGTCCCCCCGCCCTGCCAGCACCGTCCCCCCATCCGCGCCCCCGCTCTTCTCCGCGCGCCCCTTCCTGCTCGGCGCGGCCGTCGCGCTGCTGCTCTCGCAGGCCGCGCTCCTCGCGCGCCTCCACCCGCCCGCCGCGCCGCTTCTTCTCCGCGCCGCTGGTGCGGGCGGCTCGGCGGGGGATGTCAGCAGCCCTGGGAATTCGGGTGACCGTGAGGCAGCTGTGGAGTCGCAGGGCGACGGCAGTCAGTCGCAGGGCGATGGCGATCAGTCGCAGTCGCAGGAGATGGCAGTGCTGCGGAATGTGACAGAGCTGGCGCAATGGGCTGCGGAAATCGCGGACGCGCTGAGGGCAGTGTTCCCCGA